ATCTACACCTCTTGGCACTGTGCCACTGCTGGCGGGGTACCTTCTGACTAAAGTGCCTCTTCTCTCTTCTCTTCCTGTCCAGATCTGGCTATTTCACCAAGAAAGCTTTTGACCAGAAATCCAGGGCTCCTATTGTACACCCCTGCCTCTCTGCAAAACCAGAAGGAACTTCATGCCACATGGAGCCCTGCAGGTCCCACAGCTTGTCCCGGGTCCCTGGATCAGGAGGGAGGGCTGTTGAACGCGTAAACCCCAGGGGCATGGCAAAATCCTTTCCTTCTCCTTTTGCAGCAACAACAGCAAAAGACCCCCAGGCGCTCCAAAGGTCTGCTTTTTAGCGTTGCTATTTTGGTTCTATTGTTGTTCTCCCTCCTAAGGAGGTGGGGTAACTAACTGCATTCTGGGTCTGCTCGGAGTATGACATATCATCCTGCACTAGGCCCTGGGCCGAGAAGCTGGGCTGCATTGGTTTCCTCGGTGAAAAGAAGTGCAATTCACAGGCATCTTTCAAAGTGGAGAAAGGGCTTGGGTATAGGCTGGAGCTGGACCAGTCTCTCCTGGCTCCCCTCAGCCAGGACTGCGGATGGTGCACCTAGTCCTGTTTGCCTGACAGAAAAATCGCTTGCCCAGAGAATGCAGAACCCATCCCACTGCTGGACCTCAAATCCAGCATGACTAAGCCACCTTAGTCATCTTTAAATGAATTCTACCCCTTTGCCTGTTTTGTTTTTCTGTTTTTTTGTTTTCCGTTTTCATTTTGTTTTCTCCACGTATAAACCCCACAGAAGAGAACACAAGGTGATGGATGAAAATGTTTGAGCAGTTACTACCCCCCACAACCCAGCTCATAGGGATAAAAGTACTCAGGAAATAAAGTGGTAACACCGCTGCCGCCTCATAATTACCCAAGTTTTGTTGCACTTTTGATTAGAAAATGCAATTATGTTTATAGTGTTACAATCTCACCTGTTTTTGAGAAAATTGCAAGAGAATAGATGTATTCTCCAGTAGGCTGCCCTTGCTAATCAGTTGATTCAGGTCTCTTGAAGTGCTCATTGCACTTAAGCTAATGAAGAGATGCGGTTTCTCTGGGGCTCTCAGCTCCCACCTAGACTTTGGGGCTTGCTTTTCAGAACAAACAGCTTTGTCTCAGTTATTTTCTACTCCTCACAGGAAATCGAGCATCTGATTGTCATAGAACTAATTTTTCCCCAAGAATCCGCCTTCCATTCTTTCTTTTTGCTTTCTTTCACTTATTCAATTATGTATCCATTCATCAAGCTGCCATCAGTTAAGTGCCTTCCTAATCTATGCTAGGTATTATACTAGGCACTGGGGATATGAAGTGTGAGAAGGCAGGGTCCAAGCCCTTCAGAAGCTCCGTCTCCTAGAAGTAGTAGGAAAGAAAAGAAAACAAGCAGAAGGCAGTGTGACTGGGGCTGAGAGAGATAAGAACAGGGTGTGAGAGAGGCCCAGTCAACTCCATCTGGAGTGAATGAAGACTCAAGGCAGGCAGGCTTCCAGGTGGAAGTGATGTTTAAGCTGAATTTTGAAGAAGGCTGGGACCAGGAAGGTGTGTTGTCCAAGCATGGGGAAAGGGGTGAGCCTGCAGGGGTGAAGCTGCTCATCTCGGATTTGTCTAATCCAAGATGGGCAGCTGAAATGGGCTGAGTGGCTGGGGTGAAAAGCACAGGCAGGAGGAGTGTGTGTGTATTTGAAGGCAGGAGTCGCAGGTTAGACTAGAGAGGGGTACATCGTAAGGGTCTTCTGTGCTTCCGTGTCAGGAGTGGTGCAGAAAGCTTGCCAAGTCATTAAAAAGCTTTAAGCAGCTGGGCACGGTGGCTCACGCCTGTAATCCCAGCACTTTGGAAGTCCAAGGCGGGTGGATCAAGAGGTCAGGGGTTCAAGACCAGCCTGGCCAACACGGTAAAACCCCATCTCTACTCAAAATACAAAAATTAGCTGGGCATGGTGGCACATGGCTGTAATCCCTGCTACTCAGGAGGCTGAAGCAGGAGAATGGCTTGAACCCGGGAGGCGGAGGTTGTGGTGAGCCGAGATCACGCTACTGCACTCCAGCCTGGGTGACAGAGCGAGACTCCGTCTCAAAAAAAAGAAAAAAGAAAAAAAAGCTTTAAGCACAGAAGTGATGTGCTCAGATTTATGCTTCGTAAAGAAAAAAAAATCCCTCTGGCTTCAGTGTAGAGGATGGAGTGGGGCCTGTTGGAAGCAGGAAGATTAATTCCCTTTGACAATGTAAGAGGTTCTTACGAATAGAGAATAGAGAGCCATGTCAGAGCAAAATTTCTATCCACAAGGTCCATTTCTTCTGTTGTCTGGGTAACAGACAATCCCTTGGTATCATCTACCATGTTTGGGTAAGGCATGACACAGGACCTATGAGCGCAGGGTTTCTTTTGTTGCTCAGAGAAGGCGAGGATTGCCATGAGGCGTGGCCCAAGACCGCAGGAGAAGGAATGCACACACTTTGACTTCCCAATTTGGCTTTGACTGGGTCTGTGACTTGGACTTGGGTATCAGTTCTCCCATCTCAAGGTGAGGAGACTGAACTAAATTGTTCCTTAAGTTTCTTCCAGCTCTGAAATCAATAACATAATAGCTTAATGAGCTGGCTTTAGAATTATATATGAATCTGAATTCTCTCTGCCACTTCTGGCTGCATGACGTTGGGCAAGTTACTTAAACACTCTCTATGGCTAAGTTTAAAATGGGGGTGGTAAGATTCTTCCTGCAAGGTTGTCGTGGAAACTAAACGTGACACTGTATGTAAAGCATTTTTAGCACTGTATTTACGTATAATATATGGATATTACATGTATCAATGGATGGCTGTTACTATTATAAACAAAAGTGAAGATAGTTAACCTGGAGATACCATGAAACAAGGAAACTCATCCCTAGATCATACAACCTCAAGGAACTAGAAAAGTGAATGCATTAGTGCTTACAAATTCCGTTACACGTGCAGTCTTTTCTGCCTCTTAGGCAAGACAACAGTACTGGGCTGAGATGGCAGTGCTGATACACTGTGACAGAGCACCCTCTAGTGGCCATAGACATTAATATTTTCACTAAGATGATTGAAGGACATGGCTTTGTGGACATGCATGTAAACGTCGAGGATTTGGGTTTGTTACTCTTAGATAATGCCAAAAAAGTTAATCTTTGATAAAGCTAATAAAGTCTCACTAATTATATCACTTCTAATAGTAATTCCTTAGTCAACTGTTCCACAAAAGTCATGTTCTGGGCACTGATAAGATCTTGCAGTTCTAAGAGAGACAATTACATTTTAAATTAAAACATATATTAATATTTGAATCTCGCATAAAACACTGAGTAGTTCTTTATGAGACTGAAAAATAACGTGAAATCACTAAAAGGATGCTGCAAGAGCACTTGGGTTAGGTGGCAGAGCTGGGGTCTTTCTAGGGGTGATCTTGATATAAACTTGGCTATTACTCTGGGCAACTTGCTTCATTTTTGGGAACCTGTTTCCTATTAAAATATAGAACGGTTAGCCTGAACAATACTTTTTCCAGCTTTAAAATTCTCTGAATTAAGGGGGACAAGTTATTCATTTTAATATTAGAGCTCTGGTTTCAAAGAAATTTGATGTCAACTTTTCTTTATGAACATGGGGTCTCAAGTACAGTAGTTTAAAGGCCATGTAAAGATGAGTTTATAATATTTTAGAAAATCAACCCAAGCCATCTGTAGCAGACATAGCAAGTCACTAACAAAGATTCATATTTCCTTTCCATTTAGCGGCTCCCTTTGCATTCAGGTGGCACTGTATGTTTAGTTCTTGCCAAAGGAACAGCAAAAACCATGTGTATTTCCAAGCCAAAGTATTTCCAAAGTAGTTAGGTACCAGGTGCGTGACCTTCCACTCTTCCTCGTTCCCCTTGTCCTCCAATGGATAACACTAATGTGAAAGGAACCTACTGAAGATAAGCAGCCCGGAAGGGCGACCCAATCAGAAATACCTGCATTGGATTTACTATTTCTTGTACTTTGCCACCTAAATTTTTATCATTTAGGTGCCTGGGTTCAAACTGGTTCTATAACAAGATGGAATATGCCTGTACTACTGCAAGGAAAATTAGCTTATAGGAATTAAAAATTTTTCTGCAGATACTAACAAAATTTAAAGGGTACATAGTTGATCTAGGAACTAGGGTTCTAGGACTCTTCTGAGAAGTATTAACTGTGTAAAAGAAAAAATCATTCAACCTGAAGTTCATCTGAAAACAGATCAAATAAATTAAGAAAAATATATACTGCAGGATACTATGTACTTACTGTAAAGGATGAATAGACTTTAGGCGCCAACATGGAAAGATGTCCTCAATGAGAATTACGGAAGTTAAAGATACACAGTATGGTTCTGTTGGGTTTTTAAAAAAATTTATAGGTTTTGCAAACAGCCTGGAAAGTTGAAGATCAATAAATGAGTGAATACTGCTTTTAAGGTAGATTTTCACTTCCTTTACACCTTCTATAGCCTTTCGTTGACAGAATGTGTATTGCTTTCGTAACGAACATCGTCATATACTCTACCCTTTAACCAAAACTCGCACCATTTTCATTCCTTATCTCCACATCTATGCTAAACACTTCTCTCTGGAGCATCCTCCCACAGATGCTATTTAACCAAATCTGATTAGGCGGTTTCTCTTCCCCAGAAATTGATCTCACTGCTCATATTCCAGAGAATTTTCTCATTTGTTTAACCATCCATTACCCTGGGAGTCTTTTTGCATCCTAGTGTCTTAGCTATTCATGTTGGGCTTTATCTGTTTTCCCACTTACTAGATAAGGCTTCTTGTGGGAAGAAACCAAGATTTCCTCATCTTTGCTTCCCCTACAGTGTTCTGTATAATAGATGCTCAACAAATCTTTGATAAATTAATATGTGGCATTTTTTTTGCAATTCAATGTATATATTGCTAATAATTTAGAAAGAATCGAAATGATCACTTTATTTTCAAAATTTTATTTTTATGGAATCTCCAGCATGTTTAAACTTAATTTTTAGAACAAGATAAAATCCAAAAGCTTAAAATCAGATATTTTATAATGTGTCACAATTAAGTATGGAGAGTTGTCATTTTTGAGGAAAATCTTTCATAATTCTAAAAATGCAGATATTTACAATATTTTTAAATACAGACATATACAACATGGCATGTTTAAATGTACAAAATAGTTGAAATTATATTTTATTACAGAACATTCCAAAATTCACACTAATTTTAGAAAGTCCACAAACACTGATAGCATTTGGAAAAAACAAGCAACAAGTTTATCAATAACCATGCAGTATGTTTAGTAACTTATACACAACACATAATTTACATGTCAAATCCACAAACCTAAAGATATATGATTGATCTATTTAACTCATGCTAGAATCTAAATACTATTTTATAATTCGTAGGTTTAAACACATTTTACAGTAATCTATGAAATAGGAATATAAACTATGAAAAATATTTAACTGACTTCTTAAGAGACAAGGAAACGTCAAAAAGAGCAAATCAGGCATTTTTTCCCTGAAATTAAAGTTCTTATGGATACCTTTGTAAACATCAAAGGAAGAAAATAAAAACAACTCAGACATTATAACTTAATTTTACCTTCTCAAACTTCTGTTTAGAGCTCTTGACATAATCACAGCTCCCCTGGGATATTTTTATTTTCTCCTGATTTAAGAGACAACATATTTATTCCCTCTCTTGTTCCAGGAAAAATGTAAGGTGGCTTAGAAGACAGACTCAGAATATACTAGAAAGTATAATTATAGGTTAAATAAAAAAGAAAATAGAGAAAGCAGAATGTGGGGGAATAGCACATAAAGCCATTTAAGAAAAGGTCAGGAAATATATCCTAAATTATATTATTCTCCCGCACTGATTTTCTGGAAATATTGCAAAATATATTAATTTGTAAGAAAACTAATATTAAAGTACTGGTAAACTAGAGCTGCTGATCAAAATTCTTTTTAAATCATTTATTTACCCTGACGAAGCAGATGATCATAAAAATGTATGTGCTTTTCTTTGTGCTTGGATAAAACAAGTTTTCCTAAATACCATATAAGTGACTCTAGATTTAGACCAATCTAGCTATTGGTAGAGTATAGGTGGAAAAAAAAAATGTGGGCACCCTTACTGAATTTCTACTGAGAATTCCATCAACTGCTGTCTGTTGACTTGCGACTGGATGGCTTCAACTCAGGTGGTCATGTGTTACACGGCTCTTTTGTGAGCACAAAACAGAGCAGCATCAATTCCAGGGCATCCTGACTATTAGTTCCTCCAGCTCAACTCATCAGGACTCAGCAAGAGAAATGGGAGGAAGGTAATGCAGAGGAGGAGACCTGCTCCGGTTGGCATGTTGAGGCCACAGTCTCTGTTGGGTTGAGAGCTGCAGATTCTGACTGTGCTTACAGTCTGCATGTCACAGACCTTAACCCCACTCCTAGGGGCAGGGAAGGAATGGTATGGACAGAAGACTGGGAGCAGCATTAAATAGCTTCAGGGAAACATGAATGGTCTGTTCATCTCTATTCTACAGGCCTAGCTCTCAACAAATAATAGAAAGAAGGGTCTTGTATCTATATGCTGAGAAGAATGGAGGGAGTGACGATGAAGGAAAGGGTTTGTGGGAAATGGAGAGCAAAGAAAGGTAGTAGGATGTTTCCCTTTCAAGTGCGGCACGAGTTTCAAAACTATAGATTAGGGACCGACCAGAACAAAATATCTGAAGACTAAAAGAAACCACTGCTTCCTATCTTTTCTGAAGATGAATGGTCCCAAGTAACCCGCGTGAGTTTTGGTTAGGTTGGGAAGGAAGTTCAAGTCTATAGATCTATAACCATGGAAACTATAGTGCTCTTGCTTGGGGTGGCAAAGGCTTCCCCAAGAACTGTGCTAGTGGGAGAAGGGGACAGAATAATGACTGCTATTTTTCCAGTGATGCCCTTCAGAATATAGGCAGTGCCAACTTATCCATTACGCACAGTACCTAAGGCCCACAGTATTTTAGAAGCCCAGAAAAATATTTTAATTTTTTTTTAGCCTCATAAGAAAACACTGAACTTTTAGACTAAACAAAATGTTTTAATCTAAAATATTAATACATTCATTTCATACAAACACAATTGTAAAATATCACTTTAAATTTTGTATGGAAGAAGGGGTCTAAGAAGGCAAAACTACCTAGGGCCCACAACAATCATATTGCAGCTCTGAATACAGGGTCAAACAAATTGTAACTGAAGCCATATAATTTGAACAGGAAACTGAAGATAATTTAAAAGGATTAGAGAAGAATGGTCAAGGCTAAAATAATGGAGATGGAGAGTCTGAGCTTACTGATCCTGCTCCACTGCTTTTTCTTTCCTTGAATGCTACTTTGGAATTAGGTAAGTCTAATATTGGGGAAGTGCTAGCGTCGATTTCCATTAGCCAACCCAGAAAACAAAAAAAAAAATTAAGCTCATTATTTTATAGCCATTGCGCAATAATAAAGACAGAATCAGGATGAAGACACCTGCATGTCTTTAAGTCCCTTAGTCCTTTCTTCACTTCTGTAAACATTAGAGGCAGGTGTTCCTTTGAGACCCTGCATCCTGAACTTCCTGTGTCATAGGCCCCCTCAGTTCTAGACTTCCTCTGTGCTTCTCCAAGGCCCTGGCTCCATTATCCTCGGTAGTAGCCCAAGGCTGGCAGTGACAGCAATGTGGGTACCTGTGGTTGCAAAATTGTTTTAAGAATATGACAAAAGAAAAAGGAAGCAGGGAAAATGATGGAAGAAGAGATAAAAAAGTAACCAATGTTAACATACTAAAATTATGCTGTTAAAAAGATGGGGAAGGATTTATACACTAATTGCGTTTTTTAAATAGTAGCACTGAGATATTTGTACTTCACACTTCTCTGTAATTTTAAAATATATTTTACAAGACAAATGAACTCTATAGTCAGAAAATACTAAATATTACTTTGAAAATTGTGCTCTCAAGGCCCCAAACTCTTGACAAGTATCATCCTTGAGATCCTCACAATATGGCTTAGATTAGCAAATACGGTTAAACATTGGCACACAGGACAGGGAAACTCAGATTTGAGAGCAGTACTTTTAACAACTTCCATTACTTTCCATTACCCAAATTCATCAGTATTATAGGGAAATGTCAATCAAGAAAGCTAATATAAAACACTTTCTGTATTTTTTCACCAATATATCATAAGGAAACAGGTCAAAAAGAAGATGAGTACAAAGGAATCAAGAACTGCCTTTCACAGAACCATGCAACTTCTGAGCCTGGAAGGGAATACTAAGCCATAAAATTCAGGCCCTTGATTTACTGGTGAGCGTGGGGTTCAGGTTATATGTTTTGATTAAGGTCACACAGCAAAGTTGGTAACAGAGTTAGGGTAAGAGCTCAGGTTTCCTGACTTTTGGTATAGTTACTCTTACACTCTCAGCCCTCAAACGAATTGTTTTATAAGCTATACTTCATTGTTTATCCTAAGTGCACACAGAGAAATGGAAAAATTTCTGTGTGTTTTTTTTTAATGTATGTTAATTTGTAAACTGTATTAACTGAAACTTTTTTTAAATGTATGTTAATTTGGAAACTGTATTAACTGAAAATATAAACTTCACATGAGTAGTCCAACAATTAGAATGAACAAATATAATTTTGGTTCTGGAAGGACATTAAGAAGTTAAGTTAGACTTCAGTTACACAAGAATTAAGGCTCAGGGAAAGTAAACTGTGTTGACATCCCCAAATCACAAAGTTGAGACAAGAACCAGGTCACCTAAACCTGGCTCACTGCTTCTTCCAATACTCCTTATTCTTCATTGGCTACTGATTACAAACAAAGCAAAAATATAGAATGAATCTGGTTTAGATATAAGGAAACATTAGTAAGAATGCTTGGTGAATAGGTATAAATCAATTCTCTGACTACTAAGAAATAAACTGAAATCTATTGAATTTCAATAAATGAGGCAGCATGACTGCTTATTTTATTTTAAAATGGGCTTAAATGCAGATCACAATTCTGAGTTTTGGTGTCATTTAAAGATGATGTAAGGCTTAACAAATGTAAAACAAAATTCTAATGTTTAAAATTTTCTAGATCAGGAGTTGGAGAATAATAGCCAGCAACCTATGTTTTATGAGGCCTGTGAGTTAACAATGGTTTTTATAGTTTTAAAGGGCTGAAAAAAAAAAGACAAAGAAGAATGTCTTGTAGAGATCACATGCAGCCTGAAAAGCCAACATTACTTACAAACTGGCCCTTTACATTAAAAAAGTTCCCTGACCTCCATTATAGATTCAGAAAGCATATGAAACTGGGCTGAATATGTAGTATGTCCTGAAAGGCTTGTTCTAAAAATTAAATCTCTGATTTATTCCAGCTTTATTATCATTTGCCTCTTTCTCCTAATAGTAGGTAGTAGAAAAAAACAGTTTGAGAGTTATGATTACCTATGTTCCAGTTAAATGAGGTTTTATCAAACCTACTAATGTAAGTGGACACACAATTGAAGCTAATTATTTTATGTGTGTAAAATTAGTTAAAATTTTTCAGACAGCTGAGAAAATGGCATTTGCTATACAATGAAATGGAAGCAAGTGTCCATGATTAAAAACTGGTCATTTCTCCTTTGGGTTTTTCCTGTTTTTAAGATTTTCTTGTCATGCCTCTCTTGGCCTCCTGTTGTTAGATTTATTAATCAGTAGTTCTAAACCACATTAATTATCTCAGTGACCACCCATCCATATCTCATTTATAACCATCAACACATCTCACCAGAACATATGGAAAGAATCGAAGTGCTTCTAAATGAAATATGAGATACCACAGTGGAACATAAGTGACTAGTTCAGGGAAGAAATGACTTAGAGACATAGTCCAAATCCCAAGCTGAACACAACAGTAAAGCCGACCAGGCTCCTAAGTTTCACAGCCTACAGCATCGCTCAGTAAAGGTCTAGAACACCGTGGTGGACCCTGGTTTGCAGAACACTCTGATCATCACTGTATAAAAGCAAATCTGTATCTCTTCCTTTTCACATGATTTATGTGGCAAAGTTTGAATTTTGTGAAATAGAGAAAAAATACCAAAGCTGTGCCAATGTTAACCACAATCACTTCAAGGTTATAACTTTGAAAGTAAGATCTACTGTGTCAAGATTAAAATGTCTTAACTTTAAAATAATCACATTAACAATTCCTTTGTACAGTTCTCTTCGGTTACTCCATTCTCTTGGTTGCTTTTATAATTGGAAAGGAACAAATTTTCTATTTCAGTCAAGAATTCTTCAGCCATAAAGCAATTGGTCACTTTGCTCAGAGTCTTCCTCATACACTCCAAAAGCTAGTTGAAAAGAAAAGTTTTATATTTAAATACAGAAAAAGTATGAGGGTTTGCATTACTATCACGATTTTTTCCCTTTCCAGACCTCACATTTCCTAATGCTCAAATGAGAAACACTCTCCTTAAAAATGGCTGAAGATTAACTTGTGTTTAATAGTCATAGAGCTGGAATGTAGGAAATTGCTGCTGAGGAACACTCAGCTTAGTACCTTTATGATTTTACATAAGGAGACAAACCTGAGATTGTTTATGTGACACTTTCTACTTTGGACATATTTGTGACTTTTCTTCATTTGTAGTCACACTTACAAAGCAAAATAATCCTGAGCATACACACACACACAACTCTATGAACATAAAAACATAGGATTCTACCATTTCAAAATGAGGATGCTAGTTAGAGTCTACTTCCTTGGAAATGTGCATATACTTTTTCAACAACACAGAAAAAAAGTGGATATAACAGAGGAGTAAAAAATATTAAAAAGAAACTTAACGTTTAAATTTTCTATCCCCAACTGCTATTTAAAAAAATAAGACAAATGTTACAAATCTACTAGCCTTCAGTCATTACAGAAGCAAAACCTAGAAGTGAACTGATAGAATTCAAAACTCTTATTTCCTACTAGAAAGTTAAATAAAATGACTATTTAAATGTAATTGTTAGAGTTATACCATCATTCTTAAAAATGATCAATTGTTAAGGCTAAAATGGAAACATGGCACTTTCAAATTTAATAAAATGAGAAAAATGTTCTCCATTGTGTACAATAATAATCTGCTAAGAAATTTATCAGCTGACACTGACAAATTTATTCTAAAATAGTATTTTTTTCTATGTGCAAGCTTGGGCAACAAAACACATTACTAATTATCTCCTAGAAATTAATTTTCCAAAGGAAAAAGTAATAAAATATACAGAAAATTATCCACAAAGTATCAGGCATCATGGGAAAACACATTGAGATAAATAGCTTTAGAATCTGTGAACAATGGAACCAATTAAAATGAAGGCAGCTTACTTTCTGCAAACAAGTCAGGTCAGAATCCCGGCGAAAGATTTTATCCATGGGGACGCTGCTGTAGGAAGAAATATGAAAACAAACTGATGAAACGAATACTATAAACTAATCAGTTTCGTAATAAACTATCACAGATGCCATACATCACAATTTTATATTTAACTTGGGTTTTCTCTGAAACATAATTTAATGAGCAACACTGCAGATGTGCAACCATCTCAAACTACAGTACATACCTATGGGAGAGCCTGTATTTTTCTATTATCCATCTTGTCTTTTCAAATACTAATCCCCACTGAGGTTCTTCTAACATCTGCTGTACTTCAAATTTGTAAGGTAAGCCTAGAAAAGCATAAAGAAGCACATTTTCATCAACTATTTCTTAACTCGCCAATCTCCTTTTAATTATAATTAAAATTCCCTTCAGTGTTTTTACAACCACAGCTTCGTAGACCAGCTGAACAGCACTTTAAACATAGTGGGCATTCATTAAATATTTATTGCCTGACTGTACTTGGTCCACTAAGCATATTAATGCCAAGCTATTAATAATAATAAAGAAGAGTAGAAGTGCCATTTACATGACAGCTCTATGCATGGCACTATGATAGGATGATCATGTAATTTATCACCTAAACCAAGAGACTTTTTGAATGAAAGAAGGTACTATGAATAATTATGCCTGAACCACAGGTTTAAATTAGGATTATCCTAGACAAACTGAGACACATTGCCATCCAAGTGATAATTTAAAAAACACATATATACAGGTTATTAAGCTTACAACAATGCCATATCTTTTTTTTTTTTTTTAACAGGTGAGAAAACTGAAGCTGAGATACATTAAAAAACATATTTAGGCTAGCAAAGTGGCAGGACATAGATGTTAAAACCCAGCAGGTTCGCCTCACTTCTGAGCCCAAACTCATTCCACCTCCCTAGAAGAGCTAATCTAAGACTAGACAAGAGGATAGGATGAACTCTAGGGAGGCAGCAACTGCTTTGAGTCAAAGTTGTTACACTAAACTCTGGAGGAAAGAAAGAAGCCCAAGGGGTGGACATCATATATTCATCTAGAAAGGAAAAAATACGAAACAATGAGCTATCTTAGCAATTTTTCACATATCCTTCAAGAGCCCCATGCAAATGTATCTGTAGCATTTTTTTAAAAGCTCAGCTGATTCATTACCAAAGGCTGATACCATCATAGTAACACTTACAATGTGTACTATGTGCCACCTAAAACTTTATGTGAAATCACTTAAATGAAGTAGCTGCCATTATTCCCGCCCAGCCCCCTGCCCTTTTTTTTTTTTTTTTTGATGAGGACACTACATCATAGAAAAGTTAGCCTGCTCATAATCAGATATAAAGGCATAGGCAGGATTTGAACCCAGGCAGTAAGACTCGAGAGTTCTGCTTTTAACTTTTACATAATACTGCCTCTCAACTGGGTTTCTACCATGATAAGGCTTTTCAAATAAATAAAATGCCAGCAAATCCGAAGTCATGGAAAAAAAAAGGGAAAAATACAACTGTTTCCTCATAATGAAATAAAGCATAGCTTAACTGTCAATATGCTCTAAAAAGGTATTTTTTCAGGTGTTTAGAAGAAGGACAGCGGACAGCAAGCCTGATGATGATGACTGATCTTTTTTATTTAATTGCTCAATTTTCCTCTTCTCCAAAAACTTAAAGAGTGACACATTATAGTACGTGGAGTACTAAGCAAACTCCTTTTGGTGATAACGATCACTTACTTGACATGCTTTGATTACTTACTAAATACGGATACCAGCTATATAATCATAACTATCCATTGAAAACTTATTATTTCTAAGCACTTTACATATATTACTGACACACCTTACAACCATATACCTACTGTAAGCAAGGTAGTAATTTTTTCTCATTTTACAGATGTGGCAAAGGAGAATGAGAGAGTAAACTGCCCAAGGTAAAATAAGCAATAAATGTCAGAGCTGGGATCTGATTCCAGTAGAGTGACTCCTGCTCTCAGTGAAAGTTGAAAATGAAAATAAAGAAAGGTAAATAATGCATTTCCAATCTATGCTGATGCAAAAACATGAAAACACACACACAAATCATATACAGGTCTATTTGGTATTTTTAGAATATTTTTTAATTTAAAAAAAGGTACTTTTAAAGTCAATAAAAGTTTCCTTTTATAGAGAATATTTTTATCCACTAAAATATAAGAAAACTAATCACTAAATATATTTCCTCCCTGTCACAAGTAAAGAAAACATTAAACCATTAGAGATATTATAAAGATATGACCTGAGTTAAAAGTACTGTAGCACAAGGTATCCCATGGCTTCTAGAAAACCTTAATTCTTGCACCAGAGGATTTCTAAGGGCAAAGCAAAAGACCCAGGATTAAGATCTAATATGCAGCGTTAAGCGTGGACAAGTCATTTACAAGACAGCTGTGTCCAATGGTAGCTCACGGGAGCATCATGGATAGTTCCCTCTAATGCTTTCAAGTGGTTCTTTCCCATCTGGGCTAGTTTCTTCACATGCATGTGCTGATCTGTATTTTGCCAAATACTCCAGGGATACCCTTCTACAAATCTCCAGAGTTCACTCTCCATTCTGTTTTCTGTTCTCTTGGGGCGCTGTCTCACAAACTCAGCTGTCTTGGTCTCCTTATCTCCATCACCTTAACTGAGTCTGCCTGACTCTGGGTGGGTTTCTCCTTCTTGTGCCATATCTGAAAACCCTCTTAAACAGTAAGCTAGGGTAATTTCGGGCTCTTTTCATTTGTTTCCCATATCTTAGCAACTGCATTCCTTTGCTGCTCAACGTTGTGTTTAAATACCATTATTTTATATACTTTGTCCAGTGTTTTGGTAGTTTCAGACAAGTTCTTGTTACTTCATTTGGCCAGAGTAGAATTCCATGAATTAAATTTTAAGTTTCATGTAATTCTAATCAACATACATTTAAAGTCACATGTACTGCTATTGTATTGGACACCACCAGAATTGAGGTTCATTATCAAAACCTAGCAGTCTGTGAGATTATAAAATGATTAAAGAGAGAACAATTGCGATTCTTTTTATAAAACTGTACTGAGCTTAAGAGTATTATGTATTACGTGCTATGCTCAAAATGGACATTCCAGACTAAAGTTAATGCCAATATTATTAACTCAATAAAAACCCACATAGTGTTGACCACCTCCTAGATGCAAAGCAATTTATTAGGTGCTACTGGAGAAAAAGACAAATAAGACATAGTCCCTGCTCTTCGGGCATACAATTTGTTTAGGACTTGCTAAATAGATAAATTGCATTAAAAGACAAAGTGACCATGAAGGGAGGAATAAAGTGTTGCAGATACATAAAAAATAGAGCAACTAATACTAAATAACATAGGGGCAGTGCTGGTAAGTCTTTATAAAATATAAGGCATCCAAGTGAGATCATTAAGAATGAAGAGAAATTAATTATTAAACATTCATTCATTTAGTATCTACTTTATGCCAGGCCTTGTGCTAGAAACTGGATAGAAAAATGGGTACAATACAGTATTTATTCTCAAAGATCTCATGATCTAATGGGAAAGAGTACAATGTGGGGTAACTGTAGTGGCAGCGTCCAGGGGACCTGACCTAGAGCAGTGGTAGTAATGACAGAATATCCTAGAGTTATTTAGCCTATTGTTTCCTCTGATTATTTGCTTTCTAGCCACACTCCCTTCCTTTTCCTAGTCTGCTATACTAATTCCCTATCCACCCAGAAATGACTGGACTACAAGTGGACATAAACCTCGGAGGAATCAAGTCAAATGATGGTCTATGCCAATCAAATTCTTTCCTGAGATACAATGGGAGAAACGAAATATACAAATTGAGTTAGTCATTGTTAACCCCTAAACTGGGAAGTGACAGGGAGTTGGTGGTCATTTTTTTTTTCATTTGCATACCATCACAGAGAAAGCCAGTCTGCATTTATAAAAAAATTTTCATGAGAACAGAGACTGTTTTGTTTACTGCAGTATCTCCAGTGCCTAGCATACACACTGCCTGGCCATAACTTTTCCCCATATTTCAATCCTTTTGCCCAGTGGCCATGGTAACAAAAGTGGGGACTTGAATATAGCAGGAGATTAAGAAAGGGAAGAGGGTGGCTGCACTAGGGTGGCACCCAAATAATGATTCCCTAGTTGAGGGCACAAACTCTTGCATTAAATACTTTTGCACAGTTGCAAATCTTTTGATTTGTATGAGTCAAATAAATGAGAGCAGAAATAGGATAAAGTTATTTTTGTTGAAAACTTACGGTAAGAGCCATCTGCGCTAATTTCCTCACTTATAACCAGGCAGGTAATCTGAGAATATGGTAAGGGATTATTTCGATTATAGGGACTAACAATCATTCCAATGAACTTTGCACCTCCTCTGGAGAAGTAGCTCTACAATTACAAGAAAAATATAATTAGTTTCAACTGCATAAACTCAAAAGCCAATATTTATCCATACTAACATTTTAAACATCTAATGAGGAAAAGCAGGAACAAAAAGGTGCATTAAAAAGTTCACATCTGGCCCAGAGCGGTGGCTCACGCCTGTAATCCCAGAACTTTGGGAGACTGAGGCAGGTGGATTGCCTGAGGTCAGGTCAGCCTGATCAGGCTTGAGACCAGCCTGGCCAACATGGTGAAACCTCATCTCTCCTAAAAATACAAAAATTAGCTGGGTGTGGTGGCACATTCCTGTAACCCCAGGTACTCAGAAGGCTGAGGCAGGAGAATCCCTTAAACCTGGGAGGTGGAGGTTGCAGTGAGTCGAGATCGCACCACCTGCACTCCAGTCTGGGTGACAGAGTAAGAAGACTCTGTCTCTAAAAAAAAAACAACAAAAAAAGTTCACATCCCAACTGAAACTAAATCAAATGCCTTAAATATTCATTTCACATTGTACATTTTTCAGGCAAAAATGTGTTCAACCAAATCCAAAATGACCCTTAAAAATAAAAAAATGGCCTACACAATCTGTATTTGCCATGAATATATTCACTAATTATATTCACCACCCTGCATCTGTAATTCTTATCAACACAGTAATAATTTACAAATACCCTACAGCAAACCCAGTCACATATCAAATGTAAAATCCCAGATTAAAATAAAACTTTTTCTCCAGCTATTAAAAAATACATTATGTCTCTTATTATTTCAGTTATATTTAGTACCTGTCCTAGTTGTTCCCATCAATTTTTAAAGGCTCTGGGAGTATTTATCACTGTAACATTCATGGCTTGTCTGTACTTAATAAAATAACTGACTTTCTAAATGTTTACATAAACAATTATCAATCTCTCAATCAGAAAAAAAAAAATGTATGTTCTTTTAAAACCCCCAGTATACATAATTTTTTCTTTTTTTGGTTGGGTGTGGTGGCTTATGCCTATAATCTCGGCACTTTGGGAGGCCGAGGCGGGCAGATCACCCGAGGTCAGGAGTTTGAGATGAGCGTGGCTAACATGGTGAAACCCCATTTGTACTAAAAATACAAAAAATTAGCTGGGTGTGGTGGCACATGCCTGTAATCCCAGCTACTTGGGAGGCTGAGACACAAGAATCGCTTGAACCTGGGAGGCAGAGGTTGCAGTGAGCCGAGATTGCACCATTGCACTTCAGCTTGGGCAACAAGAGTGAAACTCTGTCTCAAAAAAAAAACAAAAAAACAAAAAGAAAAATAAATAGATAAAACCCCCATTATAAAGAAAATTAGAAATGAAATACAAAAAATGTTTAAAGTTTATCTATTTAAAAGGGAGCACTGAGGGGGTGTGCAACCATTTACAGAATATAAATATACAGGTAATACCTGGTATTTAGCTTGTGTGTCAATATCTCGTAAGGAAGGATTAGGATCAAAAGCAGGATGAGAATGATACCATCCAATAACACTGTAGCCTCTAACAGCCAAGGTTTCTGAGGCCTGTGTTTGTGATACAGGATCCATCTCACACTGTAGTCCTGTACTCAGACTGTTACATGGTTCTGCTGCACAGACCTATAAACGATTGATCCTCAAATGATTATACTAAAATCCTGTTAATTCTATTACTCTAATGTTATAATTCTTTCAGAGATACAGAAACTTTTCAAGGCCAAGACTTTTATTTGACAATATCATAGGCGCCTTTAACTTGCAAATGACTTATACTCCAAAAGTCTGATTATATGCTAGGAACTTAGCATGCATTTTTCTACTCAAACAAGGTCATAATAATGGTTAGTTTTCCAGGTCAGCCCACATAATACCCGTACAAAGGTATTCTTTCAATGACTCCTGTTACTTATGACAACAATTTCAACAGAATGATGCATACAAACTTTCAACTACAAGTGTTAGTACATATTTCTGGCCTCTTAAAAGTTGTAGTTTTTTGCTAATAAAGGTAATGAGGACCCAAGGCCTGGCAATGTTCTCTCTTGGTGGTAAAAAGGAAAAGGTGCTCGGCATATGGAATGTTAAGTTACTCCTGGGAATAGATAACTTGCTACATTTGCATATTCTCATATATATCATAGGTAAAGTATGTATTTTAATTATATTCACTGAATTCTATAAAAATATTTGGTATGGTAGTAGGACTAAATAACTAAAACATTTTTTAAAAGAGAGAACTTACTTCAACTACTTTATCAACTTCTGAGTATCTTCCTCCTAACAGACCAATCACTTCTGCCATAGAAACATGAGCATGCTAAAAAAAATACAAGACAGACTTAGCCCAAACGCACAAACCCACCTGACAAAAAAAATAACAAAACTCACTTATTGTAAGAAAGTCATTTGTAAGTACAGTCATCATGCTTTTATAAAATAAAGTAGCATAGGAGAGGAACTAGATGCTAGGATCAGTGCACAGAAACTATTTCAGGTCTATCTTCACTGCTGGCTGAGAAGCTTTCAACCAAACACTTAAAAATTCTCAGACTCTACTTTTGCAATTGCAAAATGAAGATACACTCTTCCTATTCAAGGAAGGTACTATGTAAGGATACAAAGTAAAAATCACTCTAAATCCTTCTACACAAAGACATCACAAACACAAAAACTGTTGGAGGTACTGGTAGTTTAGTATAAACAAAAAAACCCTCCAAATTACAGGAGTTGTACTTTGTTTCAGTGATCTAAAAGGTGGCAGACACAGATATTAGAAAATTAAAGTAGGGTTAATGATGGTAAACAGTCTGCAAAAACTCACATTAATTTATTTTCTCTAAAATATGGAAACATGCAATTGTTTGGCTTTTCTCCAAAAGAAAAGACTTATTTTTAGATTCCTTGTAAAAGAGGATAGTTAAGATCCAAAATACACGTCTTCCATACTCTGTCTTACGCCTGCAATAAAAATACACAAGAGTAGAAATCAGAATAACTAAGTAAACACAATAGATTATCCTTACCAAATCCATTATTAAAAGTGCTTCTGAAGCCACTTTCACCTGAAATGGCTCCTGAAATATAAAAAACAAAACAAAACGGGGGACCATAAAAACAGAGATTTTGTTCTCCCCACCTGGAATGCCCACCCTGTTCTCCTTCATCCACCCCACCAAGTTCTCAGCACTAACCAAAGCTCAGCACAAACTAGATTTTTAAAAAACATTATGATTTAAAACCCCAGCAGGGAGAAATTGTCTCTCAGATTCAGTCATGCCTTGCACATATGGAAAAAGAGTAAGTATTTCCTGTTTGACAGGGGGAAGCGGGGATTGTCTAGGGTCATTCATTAATGCATAAATAGTACCTGCTTTTCTTCACTAAAAAAATTACAAGGTATCAGTTGGAAGGGATCAAATGAGCTGAAAAAGAAAAAAAATTATTTTCAATATCAACAAGATTAGGAAAATAACATTTGCAAATTTGAAAGTGTATATCAATAATCTGAACCCAAATTCTGTCTAAATGAGAAAAATATTAAACTAGGAGAGTTTTGTAGGAGATTCCATAAACCCTTTTGAAAGAAGCACTGTTCTTTTAGATTTAACAAGAACAAAAAAAAAACCCAAGAACTTTGAGATAAAGTTACTCCATTGTCTTAATTTCCTATTACACTCAAAGAGGACACTATAAACTATCAGACATATGTCCCACACTAAAAGGAGATTTCAAAAAGTTCAATGAAAATATAATTATCTGTTATGAGACCCCCAAAAAAGTTCAAGAAAGATGGAAGTTTATCAAAAACACTTGTCAGTTCAATAATGTGCCAACAATAGAGTAGGAACTTAAAACTTTTTTTGAATGAATGAATGACAAACGGTTCTGGTAAAGATATTAATGTATTAGTCCTATGATAAACTCTTGTATTAAAGTGAAAAAGTGGCCAGGTGCTGTGGCTGACATCTGTAATCCCAATATTTCGGGAGGCCGAGGTGGGTGGACTCCTTGAGCCTAGGAGTTCACAACCAGCCTGGACAACATGGTGAAACCCCATCTCTACAAAAAAATTTAAAAATTAGCTGAGCATGGTGGCGTGTGCCTATAGTCCCAGCCACTCGGGAGGCTGAGGTGAGAGGATCACTTAAGCCCAGGAGGTGGGGGCTGCAGTGAGCCATGATTTCACCATTCTACTCTACTCCACTCTAGCCTTGGTGACAGGGTGAGACCCTGTCTCCAAAAAACAAGAAGTGAAAAAGTAAAAAGAGGTGAAAAAGGGAGAACCTAAGCGAAGTCAAAAGCACACATAAATCTGAGAAATATCAGAAAGTCTTTGACGAGTAAAGAATTGAGGCTTGAAAACTATATTAAGAACAATAAAAAGGTTTTTTAGGCTATCTTCAGGGAAAGAAAAACACACAGGAATACATTCGCATTAACACAACTGGAAGAGAGCAGGGCAATTCCGTTCTCATTCAACCACAGATGGTTAGCTTCAAGAGAACATTTTGTTTTGCTTAATAATGTATCCCAAGTGATCAGAACCGTGCCTGACATATACTGTAGACATTCAAAGATACTTGTTGGATAAAGAAAGACCTTTAAATTAGAAAGTGTTTAATCAACAAAAAAGAAACTGAAGGCCAAGATAGATGAGAAAATAGCACAGAAAGAACATCCTGGAGTACTTAAGAACCACGGATATGGAACCGCTGTCAATGTTTGTTGAGGAACTGCAGAGAATGGGAAAGTTATTGAAGGACTAGAAATGGACAATTATTGAGCTTGTTTCACAATACAAAAAAGCAGACTGCAGAAAAGGACGAATTAGATGTTGAATAGTAGTAAAATTCTAGAAAAAATTATGAAACAGCTGATTTGTGATCCTTAACCAAGTGAAGAGGTGACTAAGCAAAATAATGAGTTCATGAAAAGTCATGATCAGTAGACCTTATTATAGACACTATTCATAGGAATGATCTGTTAGAAACTAAAGACTTAAAATATATTTTATCTGAAATTAAACAAGACATCTGTTATGATTATCCTTCTGCATAAGATAAAGATATATGGGTTAATTGTGGTAATCTATATAGCTGATTGAAGAATGAATGTCTTCATTGTTTAAATATATGCAATGAGGTTTACATTTCCAATTAAACATTTCTATCAGTGATTAATGGCAGGCAAGGCAAGCTTATTGAAATGTTAATGATGCAGTGCTACAAAGGCTAAAACAAGAAAAGTGGATCTGGACTCAAAAAGATCCTGAAGACCTTGGACAGCGACTTGAAAATCACAATAAATGTAAGTCTCACATATAGAGGCAGAAAATCAATTATCTGGATACTGGATGAGGAGTCCCAGCTTATGGATGACTATTTTTCACATAGCTTATCTAATTTAGTCTCACGACAACTGTGTAAGTTTAAATTTTTATTTTAAAGAGGTAATATATAATGTAATGACTAGGGGTAGGGGTATGAATATATAATGTAATGACTAGGGGTATGACTAGCTTAACACTTGGGTTTAAAATCAACAGCTCCACTACTTAACAGTGTGAGCAAGTTATTAAACCTCTCTACGCCTCTCAGTTTCCTCACCTATAAAATGGGAGTGAGAATATTAACTAATGCACAGGGTTGTCATGAAGATTATATGAGCTAATAAAGTGCTTAAAACACAGCTAACAGTGTTATTTTAATTACTGTTTTATAAATGAGAACCTAAGGTTTACCCAAGGACATTTATCAGGCAAAAATATAATCTAGTGGCATTCCTGGGTATCTTTTTAAAAAGGTACACTGACAAAACTACAGTCTATTCAATGGCACATCTGCAGGAAGAGGGAATAGAAAATTGGGGCATTTAACTTATTTGGTGACCCTTAATTTTAAAAGGTTCAAATTTTAGATTATACATGCATTAGAAAACAACCACCATGCCAACAACTTGCTAACAATTAGTACCACCCAAAGAAAACTCGGTCATTTCATGAAGTTTCCTGTCCATAGTGTCTAGAGTTGAATGACCAACCTGTTCTAAACAAGGCCCCTTTACAACATATGCTGGATCATACGTTCAATGAATCTGAACAAATTTAGAATGTTTGTTCAAGGTCTCCCAAATTCATAATCAGTGAAACAAAAAAATCCAAAAAATTGTAGCAGTATTTTTTTAACTTAACGTGAACAATATAATGCAGCTATTGAATATTTTTTCATACATTATCTAGCCATTTGTGACAAATTTTTAAAAACCACATTTATATAACACTATACCTTTTTGTTGGTCTTGGCACTTTTAAAGATTTAACAGGTCTGCTTTTTTCCTCTTCTCTTCTTTTTGCCAACTCCTCAGCAGAGAGATGCTAAAACAAAATGCCAACTGATTAAGGAGTCCATCAACTACTAAGAGGCAGAATAAAAATAGTCCTTTAAAACCAAATTTAAGGGCATGTGAGGACAACAGAGACTAAACTGATATAGATGGGTTTCCTTTTTGCTACCAACATGTAGAAAGGCTGGACTGTATTTTTTAAAAATCGTTTCAGAAGATACGGCCATCCCAAACTGAAAATTTACTCCTCTTGATTTTCCCATTTCAGTCAATGGTACCAGTCACCCAGGTTCAAAAACCTCAGAATCACCTGAGTCTTTCATTTCCCATTTATACTTACCATATTCTACTGTGTTGAGTTTTCTTTCACAACTGAGAGACAGTAGAGAGTAATGATTAAGAACAGATTCTGGATCTAGAATGTCTGGCCCAGTTATTTACTAGCTTGGTGACCCTAGGCAAATTCTAAAGCTTTCATGCTTCAGCTACCTCATCTTTAAAAATGGGAACAACAAAAGTAATAATAAAAAGTAAACAATAATACCACTATCATGGTATTATTTTGAAGATTGAGTTAATGTTTATAAAATACTGACAGTGTCTGACACACAGGAAGCCCTTTATGAGTGTTTATAAAATAAAGTAAATCTCTATTTATTCCATTTCTATGATCAGCCTTACATCCTAGTCCAAATGAACTATGCACCTTTTCCAGAGTATATCTGGTATTTTCCCATGTCTCCAGCTTTGTTCCCTCAGCCTAAAGTGTTTTCATCTCCATTTTGAGATTCTTCTGCAGATCCTTCAGATCAGATTATACCCCACATACTCTATGAAACCTGCCCTGATCACACCCTTTGGGAGAAACTTACAATTCTTGGGACCAACCTTATTGAACTTACCATAGGTTTTGTCTTTCCTATTAGAAATACAAGCCCCTTATGGGAAGGATAATTAGTAATTACTGTGCCTAGAATAGTACTCAGGTGAGAAATTGGGGACAGGAAATGCGGAGGAGGAAAGACAGACAACTCAAGTTTGTGGAGCACCTTGTGCACACAAGGCTTACTGAATACCTAGTACTAGGACCTTTATATAGTCTACCTCATTTTTTTCTGACAACAATCCTTTGAGGGAGGTATTATTATTACTCACAATTCGTAAGTTAAAAAAGCACGAGATTCTGTGAGGTTAAGTAGTTGCTCAAAGTAACAAAGCCAGTATGTACACATTCACACATTCTATTCACTCTACTGCACTAGCTGTTATAATGTTTAGAACAATATTTTAATTGGTATATCAGAACCTCTTCCAATAAATGTTTAATGAAACGAATTGGGCATACCAACTTCCTGACACTCTTATCTTGAGTTAGAGACAAGAATACAGAGACAGAGAACCAAAGTTCTGAAATGAGTTAAACTCCTAGTTAACTGCACCACCAATGCCTTCTACTTTGGTGTTTACGGGTGACTTTTAGACAAATTAACATGGGAATGAAGGCATACATGTTAATGTATGAAACAAGTACAACACATATGACATTAAGATGTACAAATACATATTTAAAAACCAGTTTTCATTGATGAGCCATTTGAAAGGTCAAAGTTACCTCAAACGTTTGTCCTTCTAAGTCCTTTGCGTCACACCAGTTTCCCCATGGGTCTCGGACCCTACGTCTCCTTGTACGCTGCGATGAGATTAAAGTAAAGCAAAAGGTAGCAAGATTAATATGGAGAAATCACAGCACATTAACACACAAAATGAAAACAATAATTATCTAAAAGTCAATTAATCTATCAATTTAAATAGTGTAATCTCTGGCTATGCCTGACTAAATTTTATTAATTTATGTTCAATAGTTAGCACTCCGGTTACAAATATCATAAATCAGTGATGGCGAGGTAAGGGCAGGAGCACCAGTACCAGGTGGGTAGGGTGTGGGCCGGGTGTTGGCAGCAGAGGGCTATTTAAAAAATAAAATCAGTAATGATTTTCTATATTTTGCTAGCATTTCTTCTTAGCTTTTATATTTCCTTTCATCATGTAGGAGCTAAAACACTATGACAAATTTTCTTTTTTTTGAGACGGAGTCTCACTCTGTCACCCAGGCTGGAGTGCAGCAGTGTGATCTCGGCTCACCGCAGCCTCCCCCTCCCAGGTTTGAGTGATTCTCCTGTCTCAGACTCCCGAGTAGGAACAAAAATCTTTTTAAGATCAAAAAGAACCACCAAGAAAATGGCTTCCTTTTCAACCACTTCTGGTAGAAAATCTGCAAGAACACACAGCAAGAGGTGTAATATTGAAAACTAGAAGCAAAATAATTCTATCTCCAGCTTTAGAAAGGAGATGGCCTAATTGATCAAATAATGAAAAATTACAAGGTTGGGCCGGGCATGGTGGCTCACACCCGTAATCCTAGAACTTTGAGAGGCTGAGGCGGTTGGATCATGAGGTCAGGAGATTGAGACCATCCTGGCTAACATGGTGAAACCCCGTCTCTACTAAAAATACAAAAAACTAGCTGGGGCGTGGTGGTGGGCGCCTGTAGTCCCAGCTACTCGGGAGGCTGAGGCAGGATAATGGCATGAACCCAGGAGGCAGAGCTTGCAGTGAGCCGAGATCACGCCACTGCACTCCAACCTGGGCGACAGAGCAAGACTCTGCCTCAGAAAAAAAAAAAAAAAAGAAAAATTACAAAGTTGGTTGACTACATTACTAAAATCCAGTTTTGCAAATCTCAATAGTGACGCCTGTAAAATGGACCAGTTCCCAAAGGATAGTGTATGACTAGCACCATATCCAGCAACTCTAATTGATAACATCCTTTAAGACAGTAAATTTAGATAGAAATGTTTTATAGCCTAAATGCGAAAAAACAGCTATTTTAGCACCTATACTTTCTTTTTCATATCTTACCTATTACTAATTTAATCCATTAGTAAAACTAACAAGATCATATTATGACTCTGCCTTATAGAGTGTTGGATCCGCAGGGCGCGGTGGCTCACACCTCTAATCCCAGCACTTTCGGAGGCCGAGACGGGCGGATCATTAAGTCCTGGCTAACACAGTGAAACCCTGTCTCTGCTAAAAATACAAAGAAAATCAGCTCAGCATGGTGGCGGGCACCTGTAGTCCCAGCTACTCGGGAGGCTGAGGCATGAGAATGGCGTGAACCCGGGAGGCGGAGCTTGCAGTGAGCTGAGATCGCACCACTGCACTCCAGCCTGGGCGACAGAGCAAGACTCCGTCTCAAAAAAAAAAAAGAGTGTTGGATCACATTTTTTTTTGTTTTTTCTCACAAGATGTTTCTTTTTCTCCTAGCAGGTCACTTTATTTTTAAAGTATGATTTACAAATTTTAAAATATTATAAAACTGACTCTAAGAATTAAAAAAAAAAAGGCTAGTTATTCCAAAAAGGTGATTCTTAAGAATTTTAAAAGAAAAATAAATGAGAGAAAAAAAAAACTGAACTATATACTTTTAAAAGACACATTAGATTTATAAATTAAAACAAAGCATCCCAAGACCACTTTGGGAAAACATGCTTCTGCATCAAGTTTGCTAGCACGTTTTAAGGGTTTTTAGGTTTGTTTTTGCCTTAGAAAGCAACATGAAATTGAATGAAACAAAGAAAAGCAAATTGCTAAGGTGAAATACAAGAGGAAACATGTTTTTCTACTAAATGGCCATTTATTAAACAGCTCAAGAGAAGTAGGTAAACCGCACTAAATAGTTAGTAAGCAGCAATGTGGAGAGATCACTGAGAGAGATGACTGCTTACCATAGACTGCAGACGCTGGGCAAGTTGGTATGCTTCTACTGCATCTTTTCTGTCTCTGATTCGTACTTTGTCAACTGTTTGTGGCCTATTATACACAGCCTGTTCTATTGGAATTCAGGAAAGACAAAACCATCTGTTATTTTGTGAAACTCATTTGTTAAATAGAAAGACACATGTACACTGACTATAGTGGAGCTTCTATGACTCTTATTTCACAATCATATATTTGATGTGCTACTGAGCAGCCCTCAAATTAAAAGTAATGCTGTTATAAGAAAATCTCAATAACATGGAATATTTGGAAAATGGGTAATTTAATTTTTACTAACTTTGGCAGTCCAATACAGAAAACATGATATAATTTTTCTTTTGGTGGCTGAGGAAGCAAAAATCCTTTAGTTTTCCTGAAAAGCTAGTCTCAATATTCAAGGCTTTGGGAAAACAAAGACACTAAAATGAAGGACATATTCCAGGCCAAATTAAATTCTGTCTAGCTCAATATAAAAGAAAATCATATCTGACAAAAAATTTTCTGATTAGTGGTCTCACTTCCATAGACAAACACAGAATATATTATTCTTAAACCATGGGTTACAAGGTTTTATGTACCTTATAACTTTGTAGCTATGAATGGTTGTGTCATGTTAATTCAAGAAAAGAGTAGAGGTCAGGCACGGTGGTTCACACCTGTGATCCCAGCACTTTGGGAGGCTGTGGCAGGTGAATCACAAGGTCAGGAGTTCGAGACCAGTCTGGCCAATATGGTGAAACCCCATCTCTACTAATAATACAAAAATTAGCCCGGCATGGTGGCACACGCCTGTAGTCCCAGTTACCCTGGAGACTGAAGCAAAAGAATCACTTGAACCCGGGAGGTGGAGGTTGCAGTGAGCAGAGATTGCACCACTGCACTCCAGCCTGGGCAACAGAGCAAAAAAAAAAAGAGTAAAATATATCTTAAAATATGTATATTCATTAACTTTCAATTTGAAAAAACTAAGGTACAAGAAATTGTCTTCCATGAAAAATATTTTGACGCTTTTATTACATTTAAGTGTAGAGGCTCACAAATTATTTCCTTTATTTAAACATTGCTAGGCAGTATTTCTAGCATGAATACAGTATTTGCAAATTAAATGGGCTATTTTTAGACTTTTCATAAAATAATTTTACTTTTATCTGCTAAAGAACTGTATTCTTAAATTATTTCTATTACTTAGATTGAATATTTTAGCTTTAAAATTATACTCTCAATTTTCGTTGTAGGTCAAATGAAAGTACAGTTTAACCAACAGTAAAATCTTAGTAAAACATTTATTTCATAATGTTAAAGCATCTCTGAATTCTATATACCTAGAACTACTTGAATTCTAACCATCATAGAAATGAATAGGTGCTATAAGGATAAAAAATATCAAGTAAAAGATGTTGAGTTTTTATTTTTACCACATCCAAAATTGATTGCTCCTATCAATTCGAGGTATGTATGAATCCGTCCAATACAATTAACATCCCCACAGTTCTTCAGGCCAGGACGTACTGAGGTCTTATTTAAGTATTTCGGTTTGCATATCTCCCTAATTAAGAGATGGAAGTACAATTATTTTGGATAAATAAAAACATGAAAAAAGATTTCTGGGGAAAATTTTAAATATTGAAATATCTTTACATTTTAACCCCTTTCAATGTATAAATGTGTAACAAATACAATACTAATATATAATACCCATGTACTTTTTTTCTGAAATAAAATGTCCTTAAATAATACAATAACTTATTAGTGTAATTTTTTACAAGCAATATTTCTTCCCCAATGGTAAATTCATAGATTCCAGTTATCCCAGGACCTTGAAGTCAGAAATTTATTTATGTAGATACAAACTGAATCTTTAATTACAAAGAGCATTTTGATAATATATAGAAAAGATTTAGTATTAGAAGTTTCCAATTTGTAATACATTACTTAGGTTCATCTACTCTTATTTTACTTAACAGTGTCTTTCAATTATCAGCTATCTTATAAATGTTTAAACGTTTTATATTTGTTTTTAATTATGATGACAACAAATATTAAGTGCTTACTCTCAGTGGAAAACAGAAACAGACACTATAAGGGATTCCAAAGGGGAAATCAAGAAACTCCCAAAGATTATGAAAGAAACAAGAGGTTTATATAATAAAACATGTATTTATTGAATATACTTAATGTGCCTTGCTAGATGGTACAACATAAAATTAGAGTAATAAAAAACTTAGTAGAAACAAATTACTGAGTGCTTATGCCAGATTACTGTGCTGAGTTACATATCCTTAATCTTTATGACTATACAAGGTAGATTCTCATTTTGGAAATAAGGAAACAAGAGGGTCAGAGTAAGGCACTTACTTAAGGAAGGGAAAGAATCAGGATTCAAGTATAGATACTATAAATTTAGGTATTCAGATATCTCATATAACATGGGTATTTCTCACGTGATCATTATTTTATTCCATAAATATATTGTTCTAAGCACTAGAGATACACAGATAAACAATGTAAAATTTCTAACCTTACAGATCTTACATTCTAAAGGGAGGGATTGTCAACAATCGATGAACAATATATATTACACTTTCAGGTAGCAACAGGGCTAAGTAAGAAGGTCAAGGGGACAGACTGGGACAAACAGGCATAGACTCCTTTAGATAGGGTGTTTAGGGTAGGCCTCACTAAGCAGAATAGAGGGTAAAAATAATTTGTGATGTGGGAGTGTATCACAACTTCATAGAAATGTTGAGATTTCAGGGTGTCTTGCAAGAAAAGGAAACAAAATTGTACAAATGAAGGCAATAAAGCAGGCAAGAGTATGGCTACCAAGAAACCAAAGGAGTCTGAAAAAAACTAGACTGAGCTAACTGAAGACTACTCAAAGTAAAAGGCTTTAAACAGAACTCAGTAATCTAGCAGTGCTGAACAAATGGTAAGGACTCTAAAAATATCTGTTCATGGAATAATGATGGTTCATATGTTCAATCTTTTCCCCCTAACAGAGTACCTTCTATATTCTGAGCATTGTTTAAGAACTAGATTAAACAACAAACAAAACAGATAAATATCTGCCCTCATGTTGCCTGCATTATCATGGGGGTTGAGGGGAGAAGAGACAGTACACAAATAAAAATGTAGTATTTTTGGTAGTAGCAAGTTCTATGAAGAAAATAAAATACAGAGCAAGAGAATGAAACGGAGGAGATATGTGAGATATTTTAGATAAGCCTCTAATTTCCCTTGCCCGCACTTCAACGAGACAAGAAAGCAACACTTGCCAAAATATGGGGGAAGAACATCCAAGGCAGAGTGAAAAGTCAGGGTCAAGGCCATGAGATGGAAGTGTGAAAATAATGAGTCAAGACTGCAGACTCCAATATCCCCTTTACCTAGTGTGACCTGGAACAAGTTTTTTATCCTCTGTGAACCTCCTTTTTCTTATCTATAAAGTGAGAACGAGGTTGTCAAAAAGATTGGAGATGATTTAAATATAGTACATGGTATTCGGGAGGCATTCAGTAATGGTACTGGTTACTATTTTAATAAAAATATTCCCCTAACCAGGGAATCAACTGCATCTGCTTTTATGAAAAGGATCTTTATCTATAAACAAATCTGGCAGGCTTCTTATTTTAAAACTTTAACTCTTCTATTTTTTTTAAACACCACCTCCAGTGCCTAACCACTCACTCTCTTCTATTTCTGAACAAATGTGAGTTCCTGTTCAAAACAATTTTGCTTTCACAGTGTTCTGCTAAATAACCATAATGAAACAGCAATACCTAACCAGTTTCATGAACCAAGGCAAATGACTAAGGAAACTACTGCCATATAATTTATAGTACCTATATAAATTAATCTGCCTCATTTGGAATTCAAAATTCAAAGTAACAAATATAGAATTTGATTAAAGTAACAAGAATACAGTGATCATTCATATGGACATTTTTAAGAGACAGGATCTTGCTCCGTTGCCCAGGCTAGTATACAGTGGCATGATCCCAGCTCAACGCAGCCTCGAACTCCTGGGCTCAAGTGATTCTTCTGCTTCAGCCTCCTGAGTAGCTAAGGACTACAGGCACACAACACCGCGCCTGAGTTTTTTTAAATTTTTTATAGAGACAGGGTCTTGCTATGTTGCCCAAACTAGTCTTGAACTCCTGGCCTCAAGTAATCCTCCTGTCTCAGCCTCCAAAAGTACGTGGATGAAAGTTGTGAGTCACTGCTTCTGGCCAATATGGACATTTTTGAGTTAGTTATTATTTCAAGGTCCTTAAATTTTGGCCATTTGCCCTCTTATTTCCAAAAACAAAAGTAGATACCAATAGAAATCTAATTTAACTAGTCTTTATCAATAGTGTGAATTAGGCCATGTAGAATAAAAGAGTGATTTACAGACACATGAAGGACTTTAGTCCTCATGTGTCAATAACTGGTTGTATAATCAAAGGCAGGTCCCTAAACCTCTCCTGATCTCAGAATCATTCTCTAGCAAATAAACATAATACCATCTGCATATTTTACAGGATTGTTTCAAAAAAACAAGTAAGATGATGTAGGAAAGCTCTTTAAAAACTGTAAAGCACTACGTAAAGTCAGGAGTTGTTCCTTACAAGTATTCTTTATACTATGATGCCACACTGACCCACATGTTGTACTTTCAGCACCTCCGCCATCTGTAAGATAACTAAGAGTCAAGAAAAAGAACAAACCTCCTCCTTTTAGAATACAGCCCTCTTTAAAAACCAAAGACTTATATTGTGTGGGTAAAATGAAGGTTACTGATTTATTATAGCAAGTTGCTTTCCTTTGGTAACCCTTCTAGGTTATAGCAGAAAGTTACTGCAGTAGGACAGGAAGGCTTTTGATACAAAAGAGAACAAGGGACAAAGCAGAACCCCTGCTCAAGGAACTAGGAAGCTCTCTGTAAAGATGGCCCTGTACAATCTGATAGCTTTTGAAACAGTATTAGCAATTACGATTTTTTTTTTTTTGAGATGAAGTCTCGCTCTGTTGCCCAGGCTGGAGTGCAATGGCACCATCTTGGCTCACTGTAACCTCTGCCTCCCAGGTTCAAGAGATTCTCCTGCCTCAGCATCCTGAGTAACTGGGATTACAGGCACCTGCCACGATGCCCGGGTGTGTGTGTGTGTGTGTGTGTGTGTGTGTGTGTGTGTGTGTGTGTGTGTGTATATATATATATATATATTTTTTTTTTTTTTTAAGAAGAGACAGGGTTTCACCATGTTGGCCAAGCTGGTCTCAAACTCCTGACCTCAAGTGACCTGCCTGCCTCAGCCTCCCAAAGTGCTGGGATTTACAGGAATGAGCCACTGTGCCCAGCCAGCAATTATAAATGTTTAATGATGGTTTAATTAAGCTATTTTTAAAAATTCAAATTAGGCTAATAAGGGGGGAAATTTTGGGGTTTGTTCCCTATCCCTCATTAAATAATTCAAATAAATAGTACTGACAATTTAGAGAATAAGCTTCAACTATCAGAAAACTGTATCCTGATAAAGCTGGATGAAGAAATTAATAGCACATTATTGCCACAAGTTCAAAGTTAAAAGCACTTTAAGATCACTATTTAGGAGAAATGTTTCTGCAATCTGGCCACATTTAATACTATTGCTGTCATCAAATTTTTCTTTCTTTGTACTCAAAGCACATGATAAACCTGAAGGAATTATTTCCCTTTTCCCATGCAGTGGTGTTCTCTCTATATCTTCCTAACACTGTTCTAGGAGATTGCTTCAAAAAGCAATAATCTATCCCTTTTATTCCAGGCCCACAATCTAATGAATAGGCAAAAAGATGGGTTATAAGAGTTATAGGTGATAATGTTTACCAAAACTTTTTATTCATTACGAGAAATCTTAAATCTTCCCTACTGTAGTGATCTCTAGATTTACTAGCAAAATTCTAAATTCTGTATAGGCTTAATTAAAATACTTCAAAATATCAGGTTTTAAAATAACATATAAAATATAATTTATTTACCATTGATCCAAAATGTAATTTCTAATTTTCAAATAGCGTTCTGGTGTTTTAGCTTGGCGCCCCTCAAAAAACTCAGGAATTGCTTGTTTTTCTTCTTCTTGAATGATATTTCTATCTATTTCTATTTCCTGTTCTGGTGGCTTAAGCTCTTCTTCCTCATGACTTTCCTCTACCACTTGGCAAGAAGAAGGAAAAAGCATTCCATTATCATTCAAATCTTTCTGAATTTCACAAGGCTCTGGAGAAGGCAACTGCCTGGCATCAACTATTATTCCCCTTCCATCTTGCTTGTTGCAGTTTTTAATCAATTCATTAAATTTCTGGTCATTTAATTCGACTGATTTTTTGTCACTGTTGCTCTGTTTCTCAGTCCACAGTGTAATTTCTGAGCTTGAAAGTATTTCATCTTGCTTTTCATTTTGAAGACAGTCCCTGGAAGGCTTGGAAAAGAGAGCTTCCTGGCTGTCAGAAGCAATGAATTCTTGATTGGTTTCATGCATTTTACTATTAGGAAAGTCTAAGAAGAGATCACTGCTAGAATTATTTTGGGGTGTTTGAGAAGACAACTCGTCCACCTCATCTGTGATGTCTACTTCTTCATCATCAGATAACTTTTCAATTTTTACAGCATTCAAATTGGGATCAGCACGTCCCCTTAAACATGATGGTGTCCATGCCTTTGTCCCTTTATCTTCATTTTTAACTTGAAGATTATGGCCGTTCTTCTGATTGGGTGTTTCTTTCTCCAGACCGCATTTGACCTTATTAAATATCAAAATAAAATCCCCATAATATTAAGATTTAAAAATTTAATCACTGGCACACACAAAAAAAGGATAAATACAGTGTTATTAAACTGAGTACGTGTAAATGGTACATTATACCTTCAATGTGCTTTTCTTTAAAGGGTTTACAAGTGCATTTTAGACAAGGTCAGGTGTATTCAGGGTGGTATGACTGGAGACTATAACCGCATTTCAAATGTAAAGGATCACCATTTAAAATTTCTATAACTATATAACTAATTCATGGGTCTGGTGATTTGTATTAATCAAATAATCATGACCTATATTTAACTACTACTTATTTTTCAATATTAAGTTGAAAACAGCAGCCTGGCTCAGATCAACCATATGGACTAAACAAATTAACTATCATACTAAGGTATTGTACAATATATTGAAATATATTTAAAGGCTTATTTCTCAGAATATCTGATACCATAGCTGATTGTTTCTTACAATGCTAAAATAATCCTTAATCTGACATCTTCACTGAGTACATTAAAACTACCTTTCATTTAAACAAGGGACAACAGAAACAAACCGTCTTTTGCAGGCTTATTTAATGAGCTTATAATATAGAGATGATATTTTAATGTGATACTTGAAAAAAAAGAGAGATTATATTTTAAGCCATAAAATTATCTCCCATACCTGCTATTACAGATATAAATATCTGGTAATGTAACAACAACAATAAAAGATAATGAAAGTGAATGAGCAAATATAACATGAAATAAAATCCTTATATACAAAGTTTTTAAAAAGTCTTATAAATGACTAACATACATAAAGGATATGACAGCTCTCAGAAAGAGGTTATTTATAGATCCTGTAGCGCAACGGAATTCCAGGATTAAATACTTGAGGTTAACTGGCTTATTATGTAGAGTATAAAAGGGTAGCAGGAGGGAAAAAGAGATTTGGACATATTGCCTGAAACAGCTTTTCACATCCCTGCTGTTTAAGTATCCTGTCTATAATTTCAAAAATTCAGATGAAATTTTGCACTGATTTCATAATATACTAATCTCTGTTACAACATGAAAAATGTATCCTTCTACCCCAGTTCTTTGAGTGAAACTGGCACTCCAAGATACACAGCATGTATCTTGGAAGCCTAAGAGTAAGAATAACCAAGTTAAGCTTTATTCTGTTCTGAGGTATTGACTAAACCTTGGTGAGCTGCCTTGAAAATGCTTCTGTCTTGTTGAAAAATGGAGCATACAATCGATGTATGATGAATCCATTCCATTAGTTACCACCTATGTCTAGATAACACTGAAACAAATCTTACATACAGGGTAGAACTCATCATCTACATGAAAAGATAATATCAAATTTCACTCAAGTCACTCACCAATTTTATATAATTATGTTCCTAGGCTTCAAAGAGGATATATTAAAAACTTATAAATATCAAAACGACATGGTTGCATATAGCACAAATTACTTGAAACATTAAGGAACCAGATCACAAACCTTTCTTAACACTGCAGTTTATTAAAGTTTCAGACGATTCTTCATAACAACTGTAAAAATTTCATTGCTATTTAACAGATTTTAGAATCAGGATAGCATTTACCTCCTCTAAGCTCTAATAATTCTTAAAAGTTTCTACAATGCAAATATTTCAAAAGGAAAAGTTATTTTCTAGAGGAAACATTAAGATAAGATCTCTAAGGTTTTCTCTTTGAAATACAATTTGCTTTATAGGATATTTTTGAGCAATAACTATTTTGTCCATTTAACTTTATAAAATTAAATAGAGTACCATGATATCTATTTAATGGTAATACTCAAAACACTGAGATATGTTCTGAGGTTTTGTATAGTACTATGTGGGTATAAAATACTTTAAAAACTTTTAACAGTAAGACCTTAATGCCTGAATGAAAGAAATACTTCTGCTTACTTTGTTTTTTCTAAATACTATCATTATTAACTAGGATATTGATATTCTGCTTACCTTATTTTTAAAATACTGTCTTGCATAGCTCTTCACTTGTAAAACAGTGCGGCTTCCAATTAGCTTTGAAATTTTGGTCCATCTTCGGCCAAATTTAGCCTGTATTATTAAAATTGAAAAAAAAATTGCTTTTGATTTACTTATGAATAGTCCAAGCACCTACCACATTAAAAAATAAAAATTAAAAAAATACATCTTTATTTTCTGAAGCACACGATAAAGTCTTCTATATAGACTATGCTCTTAAAATCAAAGCCTACATTCTTCTTTTGGAATCTGAACTACTGAAAACTGATGGAAATGATTTAGAAACTACTTTTTAAAAAGAATACCTATCTAAATGAAGATATCACCTAACTGTACGAATTCATATTGTAAGTTATGATGTTCCAAATCTAAAATAACTTTTTAAAATAAATAAGTGCCTGAAAGGGGGATAGGTTACATTTTCCATTTATATGATCGACTGAACATGTTCTGTGCTAATTTCAACACTTTTTTTTTAACCCAGATTCCCTATTTTGCAATATCCATTAGGTGTCTTGCAGCAGATTTTACTCTGTCAGGTATCACAGTGAACTGACCTAAAAGACTAAATCACAAATGAGGAAGTCCTGCAACAAATGTCTTCTTTGTTAAGATGCTATAAGCCCCAAAGTTCTAACTACCCGTTTCATTACTCATCAGAGTTTCTCTTGCATGTGTATATGTTGCACACATTAATAAACTCTAGTTTTCCCTGTTAATGTATTTGTCGGTTTTTATTTCATTTTTGAGACAGGGTCTCACTCTGTTGCCCAGGCTGAGTGCAGTGGTGTGATCATGGCTCATGCAGCCTCAACCTCCTGGGCTTAAGCAATCCTCCCACCTCAGCCTTTCCAGTAGCTGGGACTACAGGTACGCACCACCTTGCCTGGCTAATTTTTTATTTTTTGTAGAGATGGGGTCTCACTATGTTGCCTACCCTCCAACTAATGTCTTCTGACACCTCCCACATCTTGGTGTCAAAGGCTATGTACCTCATAACACTGAAGCTGTGGAGGGAAAAAAATGAGAATGTGAGGGAGCTCCTGAGTGTTCTCAAGTACAGAAAGGAACACATAATTTGACAGCTAAAAGGGATTGTTGGGTATCAAGTCTAACTATAATTTAATATGTAAAGCCTCTTTGCAATATCCCCAACTTAAGATATTCTCTACTTCCTAACGTAGCTCAATAATTCTAAATTTTTAGAATTCTTAAAACTACAAAAAACAAAAAACTAGCCACAACTTAGGAAAGTTGGCCCTAGGGTCAGATTTACAGCCCAGGCAGTCATGCCTTACAGCAGCAAATCATTTTCAAAGATCTGGCCCAAATGATAAACCTTAATTTAAGTAAATTTCTGATATTCATTAGAAAACATGACATTTGGACAATTTCTTAAAGAACTTCTGAAAATTATTAGTAAATATAAATTAATTAATTAAGATTGCTCTTAACACCTAGCTGAGATCAATTTTACTGAAGAACTACTTATCTTTATTGTGGGATGAAGACAAATAGGTAACACTGGTAGGTAGCATGGAACATTTGTGGAGACAGGACAGATCTGGATTAAGGTATGATTAGTAGAAGAGTAGGGACTTGGGTACTAGAAAAATTGGGGAAAGAACACGAACAAGAGGAGCAAAGAAGCCAGGCATGGTGGCATGTGTCTGTGGTCCTAGCTACTCAGGAGACTGAGGCAACAGGATCACCTGAACTCAGGAGTTCAAAGCCTGGGCAGCATAGCGAGACCCTGTTTCTTAAAAAAAAAAAAAAAAAAAAGGTTAAAAAAAAAAAGAGCAAAGAAAAATTCACCAGTTTCAAAATAGAGCAAAGGGAGAGTCCCATGCCCAAAAAAGGGAAGGAAAAAAGCCTTTCCTCATCATTCAGTACCACCCAATTTCCTACTCCCAAGCCTGAGAGAATTCAGTCTGTAAGCAAACTTTATCAATGGGTTAAAAAAAGCTGAGAATACAACCAATAATTCCATGCTTGTTGTGTAAGCAAACATTCCAAGTTTAAAATCTCCCTTAATGTAAACAGACGTCTCTATATCACTATATAAATAAACACATATTTACTTATATATGGACAAACATCTCTGGAGGAAAACACAAAGAAGACACTGCTTACCCCAGGCAAAGAGAACTGAAGGCTAAGATGAGTGTGAGAAGACTTAATACCCTATAACTTTAGGAACCTTTTGAATTTTAAACCATGCAAATGTAGTCCCCATAAGTACCACCAACATAAAAAATAACAACCTAAAAAAATGAACCTTAAACTCAATCTGTTTGCGTATGTATGTGTGTATGTGTTAGCACAAACTGCACCATGTTGTAAGCTCTCTGCTATTTTGCAGACCTTTGTCAAAGTGAAACATTTCACAGGTATTCAGGCCATGAGAAATATCCTGCCTAACCACCTGACCACGAGACAAACAAAGGCCCAACTAAAGAAACGTCCCTATCCTATCTTGCTCGACAAAGGTCCAAAATACACCCAGAATACCACGATGACATCCTGCTGGAACAAGGGCCAGATCTGCCTCATGACGGGAATATCTTATCAATATCCTGCTGCCCAGACCTCTTCTGCCCATACCTATAAATTGCCCCAGGCTATAAGCAGCAGCAGGCTCTGGCATTAGGTTGGTCCCCCACTTCTGTAGGTTTTATGCTGGACATAAAGCCTGTATTTGCTGTTGAGCTGCCCTCCTTCTGTATGTGTGTGTCCTTCTTTAACCCTCATCTTCCCTTTAAAACCTAACATTATGTATCTGCTCTTTGATAAGAGGCAAAACACCAAAGTTGTCAGGAATCTTAAATAAATGATTAATTAAAGTTAGATCATATAAATGATAATCACACAACAGACTGAAATATCAATATTAAAAAAATCATCAGTACAGGAAAAAGTCTTGAAGAGATAAAAACCTCAAGATCGTTTATATATTTATATAAGAATATCATACAGTATATAGATGTCATGGTGTTGACTAAAATACAAATACAAACATTTTATTCTCATCATCTGTAGAAACGTTAATGATACTTCGATTAGCATACATAAATTTAATATATACAAATATTCTATATATGTAATGTATAAATACACATAATTTCAAAATTACTTAGAACACTACTAGGTAACATGCACCTTAAAGGAAAAGATATAAACTAATCTCGACAGTAAAATAATTAAAAAAAAAAAAAAAATCCTAAGTATTTTTTTTTTAAGTTTCTTCATATTAAGGGGTATTTTCAGAATTAGAAACCAGAATACATATCTTTTGCATTATGCAACTTGTGAACATTTAAATGGATTTCAGTGTAATAGACATTCACACACAAAAGTTTCTGGTCTTCATTTACAGTTGCTGAAATATTTAGACAGTGTATACAATGCCGAATTTGAATAAAAACTCAGCTGATCACCCCCAACAGTGTCAAATATACAAGTTTTTGTTTTGTTTCAAAAAAAAGAGACTACTAAATAATTCTGCCTTTTAATCCAGGTAGTTGGTGTCATGTATACAGATATACCTCAATTTCTTGGATTTTTTTAAATACCAAAAGAATGAAAACTACAGATCTAAATCTATTTTAGTATTTTAGTACCTTAGATCTAAGTTAAAAGGAATTCTCTTGCACTACACTATAAACATCATTACTCTAACTACAGAAGAACTAAAGGTGTTAAAACTGTAATTAAAAAGAAAATTCAGGTCTCTATAAATTAATTTAACCTTATAACTTTACCAATATTTGCTTCTAGAATTATTTTACTAAAAATTTAAAATTGCTCTATTTACCAGCCCTTGTTCAAACAGCTCTTTTTCTTCTATCGTCCACTTTACTGAGTAACTGGCTGGTTTTGTAGGAGAATGTACCCTGAGGGGAAAAAAAGGAATTGCAAAAAAAATTTCTGAAATGGAACATTCCATATTTATGTAACTAAAGGTTATAGATTGCCATGGGCTAAATTCAATACTTTGAGTCTAGGAATTAAAAATAAACAAACAAAACAAGAAGGCTACAGCCTCTACCTGGGGGCAGAGATTTACCCTGTCACGTGTCTCTAGCTCAGGATGATGGGAGCCCCAAAAGACATAATCCTTGGGTCTGAGTGAGGATAACACTAAAAGACATTAAAGGAAGTCAATGTGATAACAAACAAACAGGCTCCCTTAGACTGGATACAAAGCAGCAGGTGTTAATATATTCCCAAATCCTGAAAGGCATGTAAGAGTTTAAATCGGTTCCACAAATACTCTCTTTAGTTCTTTCATGTAAATCCACGTAAATATTAAGATAGGAAAGAAGTAAAAAACTACAGCATTATATTTACTGTTTTTAAAATTCATTATCTCAAGGAATTGAAAATAAAACTGATGAAGCTCACTAATTTAATTTAAGCAAGCCATTAATCCTTTTGTTAATTTCATTTCGTTGTTTATTCAGCAAAATACAAAAGCAAAAGGCTGCTCAGTACTCAACCTCTTGGGCAATTGCAAATATGCAAACCCACCCTTTAAGGGACCATAAACTTCCAAATTCATAAATGCTAAATAACATTTTTTCAATTATAGGGAAAGGATATTTTTAAAATAGTTAATTTCTCCAGATAATTTTTGAAAGTCACAAATCCAAATGAAAATTTTGTTGAAAATAAGTGAAAATTAACTGACAGAATAAAAGAAATCAAGTCAATTCCAATATATTACATAACAGCTTCTCAAAATTTCCCCATAAATCCCTAGACAACCATATTTTTCACAATATGATAGAACTGCCTATGTAGGGCCGTAAAAGAAATTCTGGCAAATAAATAACATGATAAAATTATACTTGTGCCATTCCAACATCTTTATCAAAAAACCTGTTTTTATATCTACTTTATGTTTTTGTATAACCCAAGGTCAAGAGGGCTTTTCCACAGGCCAACTATAATTAAAAAAAAAAAAAAAAAAAAAATTCTTCCATAATTTTTAACTAATGAAAACAGATTTAGAAATATAAAATACAAGTACATACATGATTTTTGCTGTTTTCTGCAGACTGCATCACATGAAAAAAGAAAATAAGGAAGCATGTGAGGTTTCAAAAAATACAATCCACACTTTTAGAAATATTATAAATTGATTTTACCTCTTCATGTATTTTTTATCATCTTCCTTTTGATCAAGCCAGACTTTTTCCGGTAGTGATTTTTTAGATAAATAATATCTGTGTAATTATTAAGGAAACTTTTTAAACAATATTACAGTCATGTAATTTTTACATCACTCATACAAAAGGTGTGCTACATAAATGTTATTAATAGTTCCCTTGTCTTCGCAATTAGAAGTGACTACAAGAAGAAACAGCCTCCACATTTGAATCAAGCTTGTCCAACCCTCTGCCTGCAGGCCACATGTGGCCCAGAACAGAATCTTCGAATGTGGCCCAATAGAAATTCGTAAACTTTCTTTAAATATTATGAGATTATTTTGCGATTTTTTTTTTTAGCTCATCAGCTATCGCTAGTGTACTTTATGTGGGGCCCAAGAAAATTCTTCTTCCAGTGTGGTCCAGGGAAGCCAAAAGATTGGACACCCTGGTTTAAATATTTTCTTCCAAAGCATATGGAGAATGTAAAAGATAAATTTGGTTGGTTGTCCAAGGCAATTTTGGAATAATTTTTCACATTTCTAAAGCCTACAGAAAGAATCCAAGGATCTTCTCTACCTTAATAAAAATAGTAAACATTTAGATCAAATCTACCAGGGAACTTCTCTCTTAAAGTTCTTAAAACTAGTCTGATGAAATACTTTAAGATTAGCCTGAGATATTCTTCACTTAACAAGTATTTATTGGCTGTATACTGTATATGTCAGGTACCATGCTAGGAATAGGTGCTGAGAACAGATACTCTCGTTATTTGTTTCCATATCTAGAAGTGAACCACTGACTACTTGTGTTTTATCTAGACTTGCACAGTGGCCACCAATCACATGTGTGACTTCTAAGCAAATAGTGGAAACACTATTTGCATGAACTAGGATGTACTCTAAGTATAAAACACAGTGGATTTTGGCTGGGCGCTGAGGCTCACGCCTGTAATCCCAGCACTTTGGGAGGCCGACACAGGTGGATCACAAGGTCAGGAGTTCCAGACCAGCCTGGCCAACATGGTGGAACCCCATCTCTACTAAAGATACAAAAAAATGGCTCAAGCCTGTAAACCCAGCACTTTGGGAGTCTGAGACGGGCGGATCACGAGGTCAGGAGATCGAGACCATCCTGGCTAACACGGTGAAACCCGTCTCTACTAAAAAAAAATACAAAAAACTAGCTGGGCGAGGTGGCGGGCGCCTGTAGTCCCAGCTGCTCGGGAGGCTGAGGCAGGAGAATGGCGTGAATCCGGAAGGCGGAGCTTGCAGTGAGCTGAGATCCGGCCACTGCACTCCAGCCTGGGCGACAGAGCGAGATTCTGTCTCAAAAAAAAAAAAAGATAGAAAAAAATAGCCAGGTGTGGTGGTGTGCGCCCGTAATCCCAGCTACTTGGGAGGCTGAGGCAGGAGAATCGCTTGAACCAGGGAGGCAGAGGTTCAGTAAGCCAAGATCGCACTCCAGCCTGGGTTACAGGGCGAGACTCTGTCTCAAAAAACAAAACAAACAAAACAAAACAAAAACACAGTGGATTTCAAAGACTTAGCACAAAACAAAGAATGTAAAATTGGCCGGGTGCGGTGGCTCAAGCCTGTAATCCCAGCACTTTGGGAGGCCAAGGCGGGCGGATCATGAGGTCAGGAGATCGAGACCATCCTGGCTGACACGGTGAAACCCCGTCTCTACTAAAAAAATACAAAAAACTAGCTGGGCAAGGTGGCGGGTGCCTGTAGTCCCAGCTACTGGGGAGGCTGAGGCAGGAGAATGGCGTGAACCCGGGAGGAGGAGCTTGCAGTGAGCTGAGATCTGGCCACTGCACTCCAGCCTGGGCGACAGAGCGAGACTCCGTCTCAAAAAAAAAAAAAAAAAAAAAAAGAATGTAAAATTATCTCATGTGTTTATCTTGATTAAATGTTAAAATGAGAATATTTAAAATATTTTAGGTTATATAATATATAGTTAAAATTAATTTCCTTTGTGTTAAATGAGGATGTCGGAGAATTTTAAATTATATGTGACTTTCTCTGAAGAGCAATAATCTAGGCTACAACTGCAATGTCTAGGGAGAATTAGAGAATAAGAAAGCCTAAATGGGGTTAACCTATGATAATTAAAGGTACAGAGACACTCTAAAATCAACATGGCAATAAGTGGAAATCGTGGGAACAGAGAAATTCTGGCTTAGTGAGGAGAACTCCATAAAATGAAGATGAAAGAGGTTAATAAACCACTACTTATTAGACTATCACTAGCTATCTTTATAAATCATAAAATCAGAAATCATTTTGTTCAATCCTCTCCTTTTATGTGTACAAAAACTGAGCTATAAATAAGGATCCACAAATGTAGGGAAAAAAAATATTCGTTCTATAGTATTTGTTTTGTGCTTTTTATTTAGATTCCTCCCACGTAACACCTGTAAATTATGAAGCGAGAAGAACTTTTACATGTTCCAACTCTGTGTCCTTGGACAAATTAACATCTCTGGGTTTCAGCTTATATAACTTTAAAAATGCAAGCTTGGACTTAAGGTTCAAAGTGACTTAAATATTCTATCATTTCTACTCAATATTCAGATATCATAAACAGTTGGCTAGTGAAACTCAAAATATGCAATCAGATCTCAGATGTAGCAGTAAAACAGAACCCAAGGAATAAAATGCTGCTTTTTGCATACATAGGCAACATGATATTATATAATAGCAGTCTGGGGCTGAATAAAATCCATCTAGTAAACAGTGGCCTCTTGTAATTTTTGCATTTATAGATTTTTCACCCTGAAACCTGTACTTTCCTCATCATCATTAAAGGATACTCTTCTTCCAACAACATTTTCTCAATAACAGCTCTGTTCTCTTCACTGATGGTGTTATCCAAGGTCCAAGGCTATTAAAAAGGAGAATATATTTTTCTTTTTATTATTGCTTTTTGAAATTATCTTCTGTTTTGTTAAAGAAAAATATATGATATAATGATTACAAATGACAGCCACCATTTACTGAGCACACAGACATATTTTTGATTACCACAGTAACACTCAGATAGGCATTAATACTTTACCGGAGCGACTATAGCACTACTCGCATTTTAAGTGGAAGAGCAGAGACTTTACACCCGAGTCTGTTGGATTCCCAGACTCATGCTCCTGCCCAGGATGAGGTAATAATCGCCACCCAAAAAAGGAATTATTTGTTAGGCATCAGATGCTCTGTTAGACACTTAACCTCTTTCCAAAACTCGCCACTAACTCTCCTTTTTCCTCAGTTACAATCTCCATGATCCTACTCATTTTCAATGCTCCAGGTTAAATATTTTCAGCTCATATCTCTTCTTCAACCTCTAGACCATAATATACAACAGCCCATCCAATATTTGTACTTGGATATCTAATTGGCTTCTAGAACTCAACATATCTAAAACAGAACTCACCATCACTTATCGCCACCTGCTTCTCCCTCTGCATTCCCAACTCTACAAAACGCCCTGTTGCTCACTAAGTTATTCCATGTAGAAATTCAGGAATCACTGTGGATTCTTTCCTTTTCCTTTGATGCCCATATCCAATCTATCAACCAGTTCTACCTCCAAAATATAATTCAAATCCATCTATTCTATCTCTTCTGCTACTACCTCAGGCCAAGTCCCAATCATCAAATCTTGCTTCAATTACTGTGAATGTTTCCTAACTGGTCCCTTTAACTCCACTCTTACTTCCCTCCAATCTTTACCACAGTACCCAAAATTAATTTTATAAAAATGTATTGCTAATCTCTATTAAATCTATAAGAAATGTTTCAATGATATCCCAGTTCCTTTAAAACAAAACGTAAACCCTTTAGCATAATCTGACTCATAAGTCCCGCATGACAGAACTCTAGCCTGCCTCTCCAACTTTGCCACATGCTGCCACTCCTCCCTTTCCCACCATATTCTAGACACTGGCCTTCAACCAGAGCTTCTGTAGTTGCTGTTCCTTCTGCCTAGAATTTTTTATTTTAACTGTTCACACATCTGCCCTTTTTCCCATCAATTTCAACTTAAATCTCACCTCCTCTGAGATTCCCGCACTGACAATTAAATCTAAACTAGGTTTCCCACTCTGGTACTCTCAGTCAGCATCTTGCTTATTTCCTTCAAAATCTATTACTAGTCTGTCTGCCTGTTTATTATCTAACTCCCTTTTAGAATATAAGCTTCTTGGGAGCAGGAACATGTCTGTCTTCATTATAGTCATATTCTCCAAGCCTGACCTACTGACTGGCACACAATAAGTACTCAATAAGTAATTACTACAAGAAATAAGCCCTGTGATAATCCCATTTTTTTTTTCTCTTTGAGACCGGGTCTCACACTGTTGCCGAGGTTGGAGAGCAGTGGCACAATCAGAGTTCACTGCAAACTCAAACTCCTGGGCTCAAGGAATTCTCCTGCCTTGGTTTCTCAAAGCACTGGGATTACAGGCAGGAGCCACCTTGCCCACCTACCACTTTTTTAGGTGTAAAGAAACTGAAGGTCACAAATTTGAGAAGTGGTACAGCAAGGATCTGTACCTAAATCTAGCGGGCTCCAATCCTGTTCCTCAACAGGCCATTTTTCAATGTCAAAAGAGGAGGTTTCTATTTCTAAAGTAAGAAAAATTCTAAATTTCTAAAAAAGAAAAATATTACATCTGTGATAGTTGAGAACTAGCACTAAGTTTAAAAAAAAAAAAAAAGCAGCACTCTAGGCAATAAATAACAGCTTAATGCACCTGATATTTTTATAAAATACTTACAATAAGGCCATTCTCTGTTCTCCAAGATGAATCAAGATAGTGATCTTTTTGTAAAACTGATGCTGTATTTTTGTCACCTCTGTAATAATTAAGAAAATGAGTATATAAGTGAAAATCATACTGGTTAATGAATGTAACTCACACAGCACAGAAGCTTAGGCACAGAACTAAGCATTTGCTTAGTTCCCTTCTCCCCTTAACAAACAGATTTAACATCGTGGAAATGCCTGCTCTACCTCTTTGGCCTGTGAAATACATGGTAGCGCTAAGCTACCCCATCTCAACTGTGAAACATCAAGTCTGACTGCTCACTTCTTTTGGTTCTCAAGAATAAACAATCTCATGAGGAAAACAAAGCAGCAATCGCAACGTGCTCTGTGACTATGAACCAACAATGCAGTTTCAGTTGATTAGTACCAGTACCCATGTGTATACAGGAATTCAACTTTGTGATTAAACCTTTTAGCTGTATCTAAATTATAAAAATCACCATCAATAGCACCACTCATAAAATGGGAAAAAAAAAAAAAAAAAAACTAGATGACAGAACCAAAACAGAAAATACTCAAAGGGCAGTACAGTGAATAGATAAGAAAAACGTGGTTTTAATAACAACTCATACAATTTAAAAAATTAATTTGGCCAGGCGCGGTGGCTCAAGCCTGTAATTCCAGCACTTTGGGAGGCCAAGATGGGCGGATCACGAGGTCAGGAGATCGAGACCATCCTGGCTGACACGGTGAAACCCCGTCTCTACTAAAAAATACAAAAAACTAGCCGGGCGAGGTGGCGGGTGCCTGTAGTCCCAGCTACTGGGGAGGCTGAGGCAGGAGAATGGCGTGAACCCGGGAGGCGGAGCTTGCAGTGAGCTGAGATCTGGCCACTGCACTCCAGCCTGGGCCACAGAGCGAGACTCCGTCTCAAAAAAAAAAAAAAAAAAAAAAAAAAAAAATTAATTTTATTTGGAGGCTTTTCAATGTCCACGGGAGATCAAACTTTGTTAATTATCTCACTCTTTTCATTAAGCTCATAAGAACTCTTTAAAGTTACATTGTTTACCCCATATTTGAAAAGGCTGAATAAGTTTTGGGGGGCTCAATCCATGATATAAATTTAATATTTTGCTTATTGACTTTTTCTAGACCTAGTCTAGTTGTAAGAATTTTCCATCTCTAAGACTGCAAAAACCTTTCAACAGGCTTATAAATTTGAATCTTTAATTAGGCAGTAGTTATAATAAATTGTGGGACTAATGAACTATTCTCTAAAAGCAATCATTTCTCTCAATTGTTGATGGCAAATAGGCTTAATCTTAAATGCCAACTATGACCTGGAAGAGACTACCAGGAAGGCTAAATAAAGGATTCTGAGACTTGTATTAGCTCAAGGAAACCTTTGCTCAAATAACTAGGTCTGCCAAGAGTTCAGAAAGTAGAACCACTATCATTTCAAGTTCACTGTAGAAATCTTTTTATTCCTCAATAAGAAGAATCAGCAACACTCATACTCTGGTAGCTACTTCTGGATATCTGCCTGATTACCACATATTAGCATGTTTAAAGCTTGAAATCACCTTTCCTCCCAAATCTGCTACTCTTCCATTGTTCACCATCTCACTCAGTGGCACTACCATCTCCCTAGTTATCCAAGCCAAAAATCCAAGCCTGCCCTTTTTTCTTCACAACCCCCATTTAATCTGCCCCAATTCTGTTGTTTCTCCCACTTTCCAAATCCAGTCCTTCTAGTATATTCATACTGCCTCTGAGGTCCTGTAGCTTCCAATCTTATATACTTTTCCTGGATAAATGTAAAAGATAAAGCTGACAAACCATTCACCTCCCCTCCTTTATCTTTCTCCATCCATCTCCATCTGACATACGTATAAGACTGCTGTTTATGTCATCTAACAAGAACGTTAGTTCTATGAGAGCACAGACTTGGTTTTGATACACTGTTATATATCAGTGCATGGCATGTAGAAAGTACTCAATCAATATTTGTTGGACTGAATGAACAAGGTAGGTGGGGCGTGGATCAGTCAGATCTCTGGAAGTTAAAAAATGAAGATTTTTATCAAAAAACCAACTGGGGAGTGAAGAGAGTAACATGATCTGATTTGGATATAAGAAAGATTACTCTAACTTCAGAATAGAACAGAAGGGGGCCAAGAAGACAAGGAGCAGTTAAGAGGGAGAGATTATAAAAATACTAGAGAAAAGTGACAATAACTTAGAGCTATGGGACAGTGAGAACAGGAAGAAGTGAATACAGTTAAGAAGATATTTAGACAGAATCAACAGCCCTAAATAACTGATAGGGTAGAGGAGTAGAAGGAGGGAAGGAATGGTGAAGTTTAGGTCTGTGCTTTGGGTGACTGGGTGTGTGTACGTGACATTTACTATACTAGGGTACAGTGAAGAGGCAGATTTGGTGGGGAAAACTTATAAGGTGAAACTGAGGTGCCTGTGGGACATCCAAGTACAGATAGATTCAGAGAACTGGATAAATGGATCTGTCACTTAAGAGAGATCTGGGTTGGTAACAGATTTGGGAAACATCAGCTGGCAAGTCAAAAATGGTTGAACACTGGTAAAACTTCGTATCATTCAACCTAACAAAGAGAAGTTGAAGTCTTGAGAAGGACTGTGTGGTCAGTGAATAAAAGTCCGATGAGAAAACTCCTTGCAACACCAGGATGTAAAGAACATTAAGAAAAGAAGGATGAGAAAGAATGGTAGAAGTAGAAGAGAAACCAAAAAGTTTCAATGCCACCTTCTAACTTTGACATCTAGCACTTACCAAGTGCTTACAAGTGTCTATTAAATTAATCCTCAAGGGTTTCACAGATGCTATCATCAACTGTAACTACATACTTCAGAGAGTACCATTACACTAAATTCCATATGATTGGAGCTCCAACACCACTGGGCACTATTTACCAGAATATAATATTAATGATACTCCCTGGGGTTGTATAAGACAATGGTTGTAACCATCACCAGGAACCAATAACCTTTGTAATCCTGCTTGTTACCACGAGTGCTACTGGTGAGTAGACCTAGGCCTCAACTAAAATAGGAAGAAAAAGAAAAGTGGGAAAAATTAAACACAATCAGAAAAATTAAGATAAATCTATGGAAGAAGCATACCACCAACGCCCTCAGGTGATCAATGTTTAGTGTTTCTAAGGCCAGCCCATTTCTTTCTAGACTGCAGATAAGTATCCCTGCCAACCTATTTCATTAACTTGTTGTGAAAAGTAAATTAAATCAAGCATGCAAAAGCACTTGGTGAAGATTTAAACATTGCATGAATGTCAACAAGTATTGTTATTAAGGGCTCCTTACTCATTTGCAAAGCTTTGAGGGACAATGACCATATGAGTTTAATTACCCCTCACGTCTTTATAGGGCTTTAGAGTTCATGATACACTTCTAAACACACTATGTTAGTACCTCAAGCGCTGGGTTAGCACTTCTCCCCAGTTCACAGAGGCCCTGATATTAAGCTGAACTACATGAAATTGCCACTTTATAGAACAAAAATGGTCTAAATATTGGCAATTTCATATGGTTCAAGCTAATACAATTCTAAGGAAATTGTACACAATTATAGACATAGATGGTTGACTTTAGAACTCAGGTCTTCTGATTCCTGGCTAGTATAGTCATGGCTAGACTAAATGACTAGACTCCATGGCTAGACTCCATGACTTAAAAGGAGGCTCATGGCCGGGCGCGGTGGCTCACGACTGTAATCCCAGCACTTTGGGAGGCCGAGGTGGGCGGATCACAAGGTCAGGAGTTCGAGACCAGCCTGGCCAACATGGTGAAACCCCATCGATACTAAAAATACAAAAAAAAAAAAAAAAAAGGAGACTCATTTTTCATTCAGAAAGCAAGGAGTCAAAGGAGGTTCCGTGTCAAATCACACTGGGCTGTTTGTTCTGCTGGAAGAGGTATTTTTAAAAAATGTGATCCCTCACTGGATTCTCACAGTACTGTCCCCGAGGGTAACAGGATGGTAAAGAATACATTTAGAGGGCACCTACTGTATGCTTAAGCATATCTCACAATCATTTCATTTGATCCTCACAATTTCATGAGGCACATATCATGACTCTCAGTTTAAATACGAGCAGTCTGGGGCTCAGACAAGTTAAGTATCTTGCCCAAGGTCACATTGCTATTAACTGGTAGGGCGAGCAAATGCAGAAGGAAAACCCACAACTGTCCAACTCTAAAACCTGGCCCCTTTAAGTCAAGCTGCCTCTCAGAAGTTTTACAACTATCCCCATGTGGAAGGGATGAAACGACTCGCCCAAAGTCACACGCCTAGCGAGCCACAGAGTAAGAGTCCCTGTGCTCAGGTCTCGTCCGTGGCCGCTCTTGTTCTAGTTACAGTTGAGGAGATCCTGAAAAGGAGGGAACGGAAGAAGGAATCTAAATGTAAAACAAACGCAATGTGGTAGGCGAAATCGGTGCCCTCACAGCATCCGGCAAAAGGTGAAAGCGACACAGGAGTACCTGAGCTCCAGGTAACCCCCCTGCCAGCTGGGCTCGGGACAAGCCGGCGGGCGCGGCGCCTCCCAGGCCCACAGGAGACCCTGGCCCAGGCGATAGTCTTCTGTTCCCTTTTCCCTTGCCGGACCTGCAGTTTTCCCAGGGCCCTCTCCTTGAATCCAGTCCCCTTTCCGCCCCAGAAAGACCCGGTCTGTAAGCCTCACCCTGGCTGTGCCCCCGCCGCCGCTACCACGTCCCCTTCGATATCCACATCAGCCTCTTCCGCCGCCATGATGGGACCTGACCCCGTCTATCCTCCCGAGAGATCCCGCGAGACGAAAATGGCCCGGGGGCAGGGCCTAACGCGTCACGGGGCGGGGTTGAAGCGTCGTCCAGCCCCTCCCTTGCCGGGAGGCGGGGTTTCCAGAGCAAAGGCGCCCCCAGAGGCCTGGGGCTTCGTCTTTTCTAATTTGTTGACATGTAGAGACCTTGGGAAGTGGCCTACGCCTGAGCTTTTTTTTTTTCTGAGACGGAGTTTCACTCTTTTTGCCCAGGCTAGGGTGCAGTGGCGCGATCTCGGCTCACTGCAATCTCCACCTCCCGGGTTCAAGCGATTATCCTGCCTCAGCCTCCCAAGTAGCTGGGATTACGGGCCACCACGCCCGGCTAATTTTTGTATTTTTAGTAGATACGGGGTTACACCATGTTGCCCAGCTGGTCTCGTACTCGCGACCTCAGGTGATCCGCCCGCCTCGGCCTCCCAAAGTGCTGGGATTACAGGCGTGAGCCACCAGGCCCGGGCCCGCTTGGGCTTTTAAGAGCTTCCGCTCTTGCACAAATTCTTTGGGATCTCACTGCTCTCATTGATAAAATGGGGATAACAGCAACATCTTTCTGGGCTGATGAAAAAGTCAAGCCAGACCTGCTTTGTGAACTGTGAAGGTTGCATACCTGCTGGTTATTTAAGTCTCTGTCTCTCTGTTTTTTAAAGAAAAGGGCCGTGCAGCCCTTATGTGAAGTCGTTCAGCATTTCACCTAAGTGCTGAACAACTTTTATTTTAAAATTCAACAAATATTTAAGAATATAACTTATGATTGTGTAATTTATTTTGTAGATGTCTTTGCAATTTAAAAATCACGCTCATGACCATTAATCCTTACAATATTCCAGTGAGGCAGGCAAAGCTAATATCACCAATTAATACTTTACAGGGTGAGGTAACTGAGGCCTGGAAAGCTGAAATGACTGCCCAAGGACACGTAGCTTCAAAGACAGCTAGGAACAGAATCCAGGCTTTGTTGACTCTCTACTGAGTGCTCACCATGTAGAAATCACGTTGTTAGAAATTGGAGGATAAACCCCACTTCTGTCTAGTTTAAAGTTTCTCAAGAAAGTAGATACTGACGGCCAGATGCGGTGGCTCACGCCTGTAATCCTAGCACTTTGGGAGGCCGGGGAGGGCGAATCACAAGGTCAGGAGTTCGAGACCATCCTGACCAACATGATGAAAACCCGTTTCTACTAAAAATACAAAAATTAGCTGGGCGTGGTGGCGGGGGCCTGTAGTCCCAGCTACTCAGAAGGCTGAGGCATGAGAATCGCTTGAACTGGGGAGGCGGAGGAGGTTGCAGTGAGCCGAGATCACGCCATTGCATGCCAGCCTGGGTGACAAAGCGAGACTCCGTCTCAAAAAAAAGAAAAAAAAAGAAATTAGATTCTGCCCTTCTGCATTCCCCTGCCTTAGCATCTGCCACTCACACCTTGTAATTTTTCATTCGTCTGCCTCCTGCCCTGGACTGTGAATTCCTTAAGGACAAAGACCATGTCTGCTAGTCCTTCTGCTACCAATATTCAGCATAGTGTATGACACATAGCAGATGCTCAATAAATATTGAACAGAGGAATGAATGAATTAATTAATTAAATGACCTCACTTCTCACACTTTTCCCAATTTGTCCCATCTCACCTTTGTTCTCAGGCTGTACTCTGAATATGATGGCAAAAGATGGAGAGAAAGAATTGTAAAGAGGGAGAGCCCACTTCAGAAACCAAACACTGCTAGGGCCCATTCTCAGGCCACCATGGGGGTGTTACTTCTGTTGTCAGTGGGCTTATCCAGTAACCAGTCCCTCTGGTAACACCATGCCTGACACAGAGTAGGCACTTGAAGATGTCTGTTAAATTTAATTTAGAGCAGGGTTAGGGTTTCTTAAAAAGACGTAATGGGCTAAATCATCAAAACAAATGTAAAATGGATATGCTTTTCACTGATTTTACATAGCAGGCAGGGATGGGGACCCTGGCAGGGCTATCTGGATATACATCACATCAAATGAGAATGGTGCTTTCTAGAGCATAATGCAGAATACCATGTGAACAGCATCTCTGGCAATGCAGAAGCAAAGATGTTTCTGGTCCACTGCCAGGTATCAGTAGGCATTAAAATATATGTGGAAGGAAAGACCTGTACAGAATTCAGATTTGCCCAATTCATCTCAAAACACCCCTGAACAGAGACACTGGCATAAAGCTTTCCCGTACACACCCCACACCATGTACTGGGTCCATTGGTTTTATGTGAAAATGGCTCATAAGGGTCTAGGTCTAACTCCTTCCAACAGGATAGAGCTATGAGCTCACATGCAGATGAACTCCAGAGGCCTGGTCTACTGTTTAAAATTCCCCATAACCCTGCAACCCTAGGACTTGTCGAAAGACTCATTTCTCACCAAGGAGTTTGAAAGCAGAATGAACAATTCAGAATTAGTGTTGCATTAAACTTGTAGCATTCCTACTGTGCTTGGTACTGATGCACTGAATGAGATTGACTCAGTCTCTGCCCTCATAAAGTCAATCAAATGTGCAATTTCAGGCTGGGCACTGTGGCTTATTCCTACAATCTCAACACTTTGGAAGGCTGAGGTGGGAGGATTGCTTGAGCCCAGGAATTTAAGACCAGCCTGAGCAGCATAGTGAGACCCTGTTTCTACAAACAAAATGAAATAAAACAGATCACTTGAGCCTGGGAAGTACTGCTCTCTAGCACCGGCAAGAGTGAAACCCTGTCTTAAAAAAAACAAAAACAAAAACAAAAAAAAACAAAAAACAATTCCACAACAATGTAACAAGCTCCGTGTCTGTCTGCTACAGATGTCTGCTAAAATAGTAATAATCATAATAATAAGCTTCATGATGGAGAACCTACAAACTGCTGTGGGATCTCGGAATAGGGGCACTTAGCCCAGAATGAACCCTTTCCTTTACTGTACTTCTGAAGAAAACATGGGTCAGTCAAAATTTGAAAGTACCACTTTAGACCTTGGGGAATACAAAATAAAAACCCCTGTTTCTAACTTAAAGAAAGAAGCAATGGAAAAATACTAGAGGGCATAGTGCAATGCTGGGCACTCACACAGAGCCAGGAATAGTATCTATTCCCACTGGCCAGACTGAAAAATCCTCATGATTCAGGTAGACAATCTGAAGGGTGTGAAAGGAAAATAAACCTCGGGACCCCAAAATCACTAAGCCCAGGGAAAAGTCAAGCTGGGAACTATGTCAGGCAAACCTGCCTCCCACTTTATTCCTAAATAAGATAGCTGCAAATATTAGAAAAAAAAAAAAAAAAAAAAGCTACATATCTCCTTCACAATTTGCCCACAAGGAAATTCCTTGTGGACCTCAAGATGTTTATCCAAAACAGTTCTGTTGAATTTCACCCTGGCAATGTAAATTGATAGCTCCTCTTCACAGGTGGGACAGAAAGTCACCCTCTGCTCACCTGAGACAAATGCATATCTGACTGCTTCCTCTGCCCTATTGTTAATGTAAAAATGCAGGTTCACTGAGCCAGTCTATATAAAAATGCAGATTCGCTGAGCCAGTCTAAACTGTATTCAGTGAGAGGCTGAGCTCATTTAAAAGTGGGAATTGAGCTCATTCAAAAGAATGCAACCTTTTGTTTCTTATCTACCTAAGACCTGGAAACCCCCTACCCCACCATCGCTGTCCCAACTTCCAGACACATATTGATCGATGTCTCCTGTCTCCCTAAATGTATAAAAGCAAGCTGTACCCCAACCACCTTGGGCACATGTTGTCAGGACATCCTGAGGCTGTGTCATGGGTGCGTCCTTAAACTCAGCAATATAAATCTTCTAAATTGATTGAGACTTGTCTCAGGTATGTTGAGTTCACAAAGGTATCGCCCAAGTAGTGGAGAATGCTCAGCTCTGGGTAAAGCACTGTTCCGGCACTGCTGAACAAATCTTAAAGACAAGACCTAAAAGGATCAAATTGTTTCCTGGTAACTTCACTGCATACACCTCTTCTTCTAAAAGTACACGGATATTTATAGGAATACAAAAATAGCTAGCACTAAACAAGGTAAAATTCACAATGCCTGGCATCCCATTACCAGACATGCAAAGAAGTAGGAAAATATGACCCATAATGAGGGGAAAAAAATCCACTGAAACCCACCCAGTAGTGGCACAGATGTTAGAATTACTACACTGGGACATCAAGACAGTTTTTGTTGTTGTTGTTGTTGTTTTTTAGATGGAGTCGCACTCTGTGCCCAGGCTGGAGTGCAGTGGCGTGATCTTGGCTCACTGCAACCTCTGATTCCGAGATTCAAGCAATTCTCCTACCTCAGCCTCCGGAGTAGCTGGGACTATAGGTGCCCGCCACCACGCCCAGCTAATTTTTATACTTTTAGTAGAGGTGGGGTTTCACTGGTCTTGAACTCCTGACCTCAGGTGATCGCCTGCCTCAGGCTCCCAAAGTGCTGGGATTATAGGCATAAACCACCTCACCCAGCCTAAAATACTTACTATAACTGTATTCTACATGTTCAAAAAGTTAAATAGAGACATGGAAAATACAAAAAGAATGAAATTGTTCTTCTAGACATGAAAACTACAATGCCTGAGATGAAAATACACTGGATGGGATTAATGGCAGGTTAGACATTGTAGAAGAAAGGATTCGTGGACTTGAACACATAACAAAATTAGCAAGCCAAAATTAAACACATGGAGAAATGAAGAATATTACAAATAAACAGAGAATCACTGAGCTATAGGATAAATTCAGGCTTCCTAGTATATAGGCAGTTGGAGTCTCTGAAAAGCAGAGGGTGGGGAGGTCAGGAAATGTGTTTGAAGAAATGACTGAAAACATTTTCAAGTTTGAGGAAAACTATAAATTCACAGATCCTGAAAACTTAAGGAACCCCAAGCAGGAAAAAAATAAAAACAAAGAAAACCGTACTATGGCCTATCATAATCAAATTCTCAAAACCAGTAACAAAGAGAAAACCTTACCAGAGAAAAAAAGGT